TGATATCAAAGGAAGAAGGGATGCTGAGCAGAGAAAAGCAGTGATGTTCACAGGACTTCTGAGCTCATGGGCCTCTGTACCCACAGCTCCTGCTGCATCTCCCTCCCTGCGGCTGTTGTCAGCTGAACCCTATGACAGCTCCGCTCTGCAGCTCTCCTCGAAGGCCACCCAGGCAGAACGAATTGTGCCCTCCTCTGTAGCTCCCTGGTGCTTTAGTCCACATTTCTGTTATAGCCGCTCACACTCTTGTTTATCTGTCTGCTGGAATCAACACCATGTTAGAACCCTAAATGTTTGCTAAACTGAATGTGTTGAATTCTTTTCTCTCTTTGTACGGACTTGGTAACCATTAATTTGCACCTATTTTGGGTATCTCAGGGCAACGGGGGCCTGCTGCTGCTCTGGCAATTTCTCTCTGACCTCTGGCAGCTTCTTTATTCATGTTGTAAGAGTTTCTGGAAGCACCAGAGCGGCCTTGCTTTGTTTTTGAGATGTTGCTCTTTGTTCTTGCATCTTATCTTGCTGGTTTTTCTTCCTAGGCTTGTCATTTCTCTTTGTTTAAGAGGATCCAATTGTTTTTGTGGGTGTGTTCTGGCTGACAGAGACTCACCCTGGGCGATTCTTAATGCTGACTCCCTGATATCCCTGATGTATCTTCCAACAACTGATGACGGCAACATTCACATCCTTAGATCAAGGCTCTGGGGCTTAGAACAACTATCTCCAGAATTGCCCAAATCCAGGTGAGATTCTTCTGGGTTTTTCTCCGGGAGCAGTTTCAGTGCCACAATTTTACTGAATTGGTTTGGATTCAGTTTTTCTCCCCAATCTCACAACAGTGGGCTCTTCTCCCCACCCCGCTTCCAATTTAATAGGCATTTCTGGATTTACTGTAGGTTGTTCTAGAAATGCCCTCATTTCTGGAAATATCGTAGTGAAGGGAACATGCTCTGTGTCTCAGTAGCATACATTTGCCCTTTGAACACCTTCCTAACAGAACCCAGGTTTCCCTTTGGGGACCCACCCCTTCTCTGTTGAATAGCAATCATCCAGTTGGGTTAATTACTCCCATTCCCCCAGATCCAAGGGTGGGCCCCAAAGGATAAGTCAATCATTTCCATCTTATCTCCTTTGCAATAGATTGTCTTGGGTTGGTCTTCCCAGAACGAAGCTGAAGCCTTTTGTGCAATGACTGTGGGAAACTATGCCTCCTCTTTTTCTCTCAGTGAGAATGAGGAAGTGTGAGGCCCTGGTTGCATGCAGTTGTCTTACAGTCACTAGAGAAGCCAGCTTAAGAACAGAGGGCACCCTGGGAGAGAGCAGGATAGAAAGAATTGCAAAGAAAACAGAACCAGATCCATGATCCAGCCATGCCTGAAAGCTGCCATGCCTCCAGAATCTTCACTGACTTGAGCCAAAGATCCACTTTATTATTTAGCATGGAAAATTGTTTCTTTCGTTACTTGCAGTGGAAAGCACCAATATATAAGAGTATATTGTCATAAAAAAGTCAACAAATTTGTAAATGATATATATATCTTCTTTCCTTTATTCATTCAACAAACTTTTATTGAACACTTATTATGTGCTAAGCACTGAAGATACAATGACGAATATCCTACCCTCATGGAGCTTAGAGTCTGCAAAGGGAGAGAGATAATAAAATACTCATCAAATTTTTTTAAATGCTAAAAACAATGATGAGTGCTACAAAGGAAAAGAATAGAATGCCTTTAAAGCATGAAAGAGACTTCTGTGGCAGAGACACCAAAAATTCAGGCTTCCTTGGTTGTTGGGAGATTATTGCTGGAATGACGGCAGCAGCCCGGTCAGGGACTACATTTCCCAGCCTCCTTTGTATCTGCATGAGGTCGTGTGCTTAGCTCTCACCAGGGGAAGGTGAGCAGCAGTGATGGTTATCACTTCCAGGCTAAAATGGTTAAGAAACGGGTGTGTCTTCCCCTCTTCTCTCTTCTGCTGGCTGATGACAAAGCTCAGGGCGACTTTGGAAGCCACGTGCTGAAGACGGAAAAGTCTTCATCCACCTGGATCCCTGAAAGGCTGCATGAGACAGAGCCGCCCACCCTTCCCTCCCCGTGCCATCCTGCACTGGACCATCATATGAAACAGAAACAAAGGTGTGCTACGCTAAGTCGCTGAAATCTGGGGAGCTGTTTGTTATAGCCTCCAGTATTATCTTAACCAACATGGCTTCTTGGATGAAGCGACCTCAGCGTTGAGATGGGAGGGAGATCGCTGGGTAAAGAGACCGTGAGGAGCAGCGTTCCAGGTAAGTGTCCCAGGACAGGAAGGAGCGTGGTGCAGGTAAGGGTTTAAAAGAAAGCCTGCAGCTAGCACACGTCACGCCCTGTGCCGGGCAAGTCACTGGGCCAGTCCCCAGCATCTACAGCAGTGCAGCAACTGTCTCGTCTATTTGTCTTTCAACCTAGGCGGTTATTCTCTTTGAGGGCCTAATGGGTTACTTACCATCTTCAGTTGTACCTTGTGTGGGTGGGACGCCCCAGGCACTGGATGTGGCTTAATCTCGAAGAGGTAACTTACTCCAGATCCCAGAACTTCTCAGGGGCAGAACTGGGACTCGAACTGAGTCCGATTGTCCAGAGTCCATGCATATTATTATGGTATGTTAACACACAGCATGTTACTTCCTGCTATTGACTTTTCGTAAATTTCAGGATTCATGAAGGTCTTGGGATATCTCCCCCGTGAATATACCCACCATAGGTGCATCGGCCATTATTGGAAGCAAGGCAAATTAACATATTTACTAGGTGCCCTCAGTGTGAGGGGGAAACAAAGAAACAGCAAGACAGGAGACCCAACTTCTACTGCCAACTTGGCCACTAACTCCCTGAGTGACTTTCAGCAAATCCCTACTCCTCTCTAGGCCTCGTCACCTTCCAGGAACCCAGGGCCCCGGGACATCTAAGTGAGCAAGAGACAGCAGGCCTGTGCCTAAACTCACCACTGGGAGGCAGCATGGAGCAACAGCATTGGCCTCCGGCTCCTGACCCATTCAGGAACTGGGTGACTTTGTGGCCTTCCCTGGCAGGACATCGAGCCTGACTTTCATCATCTGTAAAACAGAAGCAGCAATACCCCCTTCACAGGGCTGTGCTGCCGGTTACATGTAAAGCCCCTAGAACAACATAGGAGGAGCTGAGTCACCACCCCCAGCGCCGCCCTGGGCCCCATGCGGGAAAGGCGCCCACATATCACACACACACAAGCACGAGCACACACATGCAGACACACATATGCACAGACACACACAGAGACACGCACACACATACAGACACACAGAGACACATGCACACATAGGCATACACTCACAGGTTCACACGTACATACCCCCGGAGGCACAGAGACACATACTGAGACACATAATCACACACATACATACACATACATACGTGTACACAGAGATGCACATGCACACAGAGACACACACACACTCATACATACACATGCACACACATAAATGTACACACGCCGACGGACACACACACACACACACACAAAATCTATTGAAAGGTCCAGAGTGCCTCTGTCCTCTGACGGGCACCAGCACTGGGACACTGCAATCCCCAGCCTTAAACATCGGCTCTCCTAACTATCACTGTTCTGGCCCAGCAAACCGCTTCCTCGCATCTCTTGCCCCGGGCCCACAAGACAAAGGGCAGCTGCCTCAGAACATCACCGAGGCTGCGGGCTGTGCTGTTGCCGCATCGTGGACGGATGCTGCTCCCAAGGGAGGCTGCGAGCGCAGGACAGGAGGGTCAGCTCAGAGGCTCCCTCCCAGGGAGCTAGTTCTTGCCCAGCAAAACACTGCCTGCCACTAGCTCCAAACACCCACTTTCCTGTGCCCCTTCATTTCCAACTCACAGGTCCAGAGGTGCCCCTGAATTAGTGCGGGATTCACCACAGGGTCACAGGGGCACTAAAGGACACTGGGTGATATCAGACAATACATGTTACTCATAAATTTACATAAATGTAGGTTTACACATAACTTTGGGTCATGATGGCAATTCTGTACACTGGCAGCTAAATGAGATTGAATATTAGAATTGCAAATAGTTTTATTTTTATTAAAATATTTGGCAAGACGTGATCCAATTTCAACAAAACAGTTTTCAAAAAGCCAACTTTTAGTCAAATAAATTTACTTAAAATGTTTTATATTCATTAGCTATAATTTATATTTTGCCTTTTAATTTTAATAGAGAATTTAGAGTATTTTTGAAGAAAAAACTTATGAAAAGATATTAAAATAATTTTAATCTTTTCTCTTTAGACTTATTTTGTTCTTTGTGAAACAATTACATTTTATACACTTCAAATACAATAACACTTGAAAAATCTTTTAGATCATTACTGTCAGGGGAACACAAATCATGTAAAAATTTGATTACAACATAAATGGAGATTTTGCTGAAATGAAAGCAAGAAAAATACGTTTTATGGAACAAATGTATCATAATTTATGAAATACGTAAGTCTTTGTTTTATATCATTTGAACATTGGCAGCCCATTGACAGATCACCCAAGCACACACAATAAGAATTAACTCAATCAGCTTAGACATATTTCTGACTTTCAGTCTTACAAAAACTGTGGCTTTTCATATATCCTTTAATGTGTGTTAGAAAAGTATGTTGAGATGGAAGGATAGAACACGCTCTATTTCCCAGTCTGTCGGCTTGATTAGTAAGCTAAGTATTTAGGCACACACCATGAGGATCCCCAGACCCCACAAATGTTAAAATGTTAAGGGTGAGGGGCTGGCCCCGTGGCTGAGTGGTTAAGTTAACGTGCTCCACTTCAGCGGCTGGGGGTCCACTAGTTTGGAACCTGGGGTGGACCTACACACCACTCGTCAAGCCATGCTGAGGCAGCATCCCACATAAAAGAACTAGAATGACTCACAACTCAGATATACAACTATGCACTGCGGCTTTGGGAAGGGGGAAACAAGTAAGATTGGCAACAGATGCTAGCTCAGGGCCAATCTTCTTCACCAAAAAAACACACCAAAAAACCCCCAAAACATAAAATGTTAAGAATGATCCTGAACACCACCAACCAGAACAGGTTCTGAAGGCCTCGAGGAAAGAAGAGGGTTACGGGTAGGAAGGGGCTTTGTAGGGGAGGCCCCCAAATCTGTGTTGACTAGTAACCCTGCTGTTAGCAGCCACAGTATGGTACTTGCAGGGCCCTCCTCTAAGCCCTTCGCATATTGTTCTGTTAACTCTCCCAACAATGTCATGAGACAGACAGTTTTATTACCCTCACCGTACAGATGAGGAAACGGAGACGTGGGAAGTGAGGTCCTTTGCCTAAGAGGACCCAGTTAGCTGGTGGTGAAGCAAGGCAGCCTGACCCCAGAGCCCCTAGAGTCACCTCAGCCAGGACACTGTGGCACTCAGAGCAAATGGGCCGTCACAGTGGGAGGGGCCTACCTGTCCCCCACACGCACAGCAACTTACAGACACACGCACCCCAGCAAAACGCACAGTGCTGGTGCTGCGCACGGCCCCTGCCTGCACCTGCGTGGGCAGCGCTGCGCCCCAGGGCCCTCCTCCTCCCGCTCCCTTCGTGGGTCAGCCCGGGGCGGTGGGGCTCTTGCGGGACAAGCATCCTCTGTTTCCCCTCCCACCTCATGACCGGCCGCTGTACCGGTGAAGGCTCAGTGAGGGTGTGGCCCGCTGCACTCGGCGCCCCTCCTCAGGCCCCACCCACCTAGTGCTCCCAACACGGCCCCTCCCTCACCTGACGTGTGTGGCCCGTGCCCCTCTGGAGCCTGCGATACCCCGCTACCTGCCTTTTCTTCCTTGCTGGTGTCCCTCCTATTCGTTCTCCTCTCAGCGGCCAGAAGCGTCGGGTCCAAACACAGATGTGAGCAGGACGCCTCCTTGTTTCAAACCCTTCACTGGCCATCCATTGTTCCCCGAACAGAGACCAAGAAGGCGCGGTGGGCCATTTTACAAGGACGTCGGCCACCTTATAAAAGACGACAACAGGCCCACGCCAAGGATTCTTGTTCTTTACTCTCCATCACAGGCAGGAGAACCCAGATGTGTGGTGACAGTTGTACCAAGCCTGTTCCCACTGGAGGGACAAGCCTCCGTGGCCTTCAGGTGCCCTTGGAGGCTCCCCATTGGATGAAAATACCACTGGGTCTTCCAGAGAGGTGCCTCATTCTCATGGGGGACTCCCAGGCCTTCTCCAGCACTGCAAGCTCCAGGCCATCTCCCCATTAGGCTAGGCAAAGACTTCCTGTGGGGTAAATGAGAGGTCACAGTCTCAGGTTCAGCTTCGCAGGGAATCATGCCCTTCAAGGCCCACCCACCACCAGCCCAGCTACCCCAGCCTCCTTTCAGCCCCTTCTGGGTGCCGTGCCCCTCAGACCACAGGGCCTTTGCACGGGCTGTCCCTCTATTTAAACTCTCTCCACTTCCCTCTTCATCCAATAAACTTCTTGAGATCCCTGCTAAACCATTTCTTCCACAGAGAAGCCCTCACTGACCCCCTGCCCATACGACACACCCCTGTTAAATGCTCTCATAACCCCACAGGACAGTCTGTCAAGCTACTCATCCCTACGCGCAGGTTTCCATTCAGTATATAATTACTAACGTTTGTGCCCTCCTGGACTGTCAGCTCCATGAAGGCAGGAACTGTACCTGGCTCTGCTCTCCAGCGTATCCCAGCACATAGTAAGCCCCCAGTATAGTTTCCTGACTGGACAGGCCATGCATCCCATGAGGAATGAGGTCATCCCACTTCGCTGGGCGGGCTCCATCGGATGCTTCAGGCTCTGAGAGAAGCAACAGAAGATGAGATTGAGCAGAGGAAGAGCTCTCAGCACAGTGCCCGCAGCACTGTAGGGGTTTAATAAATGGTAGTTGGTTTGCCATTTTTATTGTTAAGGTGCTGTTGCTGCTGCAGATGCTGCTGATGCTGATGCTGATGATGCTGATGCTGATGATGCTGATGATGCTGACACTGATGCTGATGCTGATGATGCTGATGACGACAAAGACTTCTGAACCTCAAGGGACAAGTTTACTCCCGGAAAGAAGACATTGCCGGGCTCGTCCCTCTCCTGTCCTCCACCCCAACCACCCTCCGTCGTGGAAGTTAAGATCTGTCGAGGGGGACAGTTATCCCACTGAAAGGCCGGGGACCCTCACCCAGCTGCTATACCACAGCCCGGGTGAGTGTTGGGAGCTCTTGGACAGCAGGTGGCTCCCCTGTGGCCAGGTAACAAGGGACAAGAGGAGAGACCCAGTATGTACTGGTTCCTCCAAGGGGCATGGCATCCTGCGAAGGGCTTTACACATTTCGTTTTCTTTTCATCTGGTCCCAGACTCTGAAAGGCAGGTCTCATCACCCTGACATGGATAATGGAGCTGGGCTCCAGAGGGGACGGGATGGGCCAAGGCCACACAGCCTCTAAGTGGTAGAGCCAACACCTGAGTCCTAGTCTTGCTGATGCAGAAACCTGGTGCTTTCAGCCACATTCTGCCACTGGTGAGAAAACCATGAAATCCACCACGTTTCCTGAATGCCTGACACCCTCCTCCAGGTTCAAGTCCTCTCAACGTCCCCACTTCGAACCTCAGTGAGGGACACCTCTGCCTGGAAGCCTGCCTGGATTTCCCTGCCTGGCTCTGGTCCTACAGTCCTCGGTTTTCTGCTGCAGATACACACTGACAGGGGCTTGCAGGGGCCCCATCCTGGCTGGGACAGGGTTCAAAATGGCTCACCAATGGGACTGTCTCAAGAACCTGGCCTTTCCTGGGGTGCACCCTTATGCGGCTACAGGAAGGGCTGTGGGCCAGACCTCCAGGGAATCAAAGCTAATTTTCGGTTGTTTAGGACGTAGCTCCTCAGTGACTCACTGTTTGGGCTCTTGTGTCCCAGGCCAGGAGCCAGGAGATGCCAGGAGATGCCCTCATTAAAAATCAAAAGGCAATAGAGCAAAGGGGAGCTCACCTGTCTGAGACCATGACTCATGGCGGCTGGGTGACCCTGGCCAGGTGGAGTCACCTCTCTGGCCCCTCACCCCCCAAGTCTTCTGTAAGTGGGACGAGGACAGCCCAGCATGCAGAGTTCCAGGACCGGTTATTAGCAGGAAATGGGAGGGATGGAGGCAGGGCCTTAGCCAAATACATGTCAGTGTTTACCCGGCTTTATTCTTGCGTTAAAAACCATTAGTCTCAAATCACTGTCAAGGATCCCGGCCACCAGGGCTCCATTCCCCGCTCCAGGGTGACACTCCCAGGGACTCTCCCTGCCAGGGTGGGGTCAGGGAATTTGTATCGGAGTCCTTCCTGGGCGTGATGGGAGCCCCAGCCTCCTCCCCAGGAATGGAGGCCGGTGCTGGGCCGAGTCGGCTCCCGAGGGAGGAGGCCACGTGCCCAGTGGTTGAACTCAAGGCTGCAGCGTGAAAGTGGCGTGGGCCCTGGGCGCTTTAGCTTCCGTGGGCCCTTTTCTCCATAGAAAGGAAAAAAAAGTAAAAAGCAAGTCTTATGACCCCATTGGTATGAAGACAAATATAATCCAGACTGGATGGTCGTCATTCTGATTTTAAAGAAATTAGAACATTTTGGAGGCCCCTAAGGTATCAGGGAGGCTGGACCCCACACCCACCGTCGGGACCCTCTTTGAACCGCCTGGGCCCAAATTCTGGCTCACCGTTTACATAGTCGTGTGCCTCAGTTTGCCTCTCTGTAAAATGAGGATGATGGTGGCCCGTGCATCATGGGCCTGTTTGAGGGCTCCTTGAGGTCTTGCTTGAGAAGACTCGGCGCAGTCCTGGTTCGTAGTAAGTTCTCGGTGCAACAAGCTGCTCAGTTGCATGCCACCCTCCCATGAAGGAGGCAAGCCCGGGACGCCTCTATCCCTGTAATATAGCCGGGAAAACCAGGGTCCGGAGCAAGGGATAATCATAAGCATGGAGTCAGGACTCCAAGGCCACAGATCAAGCAGCTTCCAGGCCCTGGAGGTCGACGGACGTGGCTGGTCAAGTTATCCTAGTCACAGACCAGAAGGAGGGAGGGCAGGGGCAGGAGGAAGTCCCAGGCAGGACAGCAGCATCTTGCCCCCAGTTCTGCCTCAGGGGACTCACGGAAGCCAGCAGCAGCCAGCAAATGAGGCCACTGTGAGTCCACAGCTGGTGGGACTGAAATTTCTGACCACGACTGAGCTGGGCCCTCTCCTCTATCCCACTGACAAGCAGCCACGCTCTGAAGCCTGGCCTCCATGTCCTGACCTGACCTGCTGGACAAGCTGGGCCTGGGGGCTACTGCCTCCCCCACCCAGCCCCTAAGATAGCATCAAAAGGACAGAAGTTTCCAGGCTATGCAGGCATGTGGGTTTTCCAACTGGCTCAGACAGAGCCCATTTTTACAGCAGCCACACTACGCCACTGCACGAGGATCCGGGCAGACAGAAGTCACATCTGGGAGTATTTTCCTTGTCAGACAAGCGGGAACCTGCCTGGGAAAGAACAATAAAGAAAAACCCTTAAGCACAGCTGGCTGAGCGCCCAGCCCTTGGCTTATACCTTCCTATACGTCCCAGCCTATGTGGCCTTCAGGTTCTTAGACAGATGGCCCCCCAGACTCCTGGTGCCCTGCTGCGTGGTCAAGCTCTCACTCTGGGTAACGCAGAGGCTGGGGATGGGGCGAGGGGCAGGGAGCAGAGGGCACGCTCAAGTAGCCAGGGGCACGGAAAGAGGACAGACGTGGCCTTGTGAACTTACGTTTCTCAGCCTCTCGTGGGGATGAGGGGAAGATGCCAAGGATGAAAAGCACCAGATGTAGCCCCTGGCTCACGCTCCATCAGTGGGAGCTGGTGTGACGGTTTTTAGAAAGGGGTAGGTGATGGGAACGGCAGTGAGCAGAAAGAGTCACAGATGGGTCCCCTCCCCAGACTGCCTGGAAGGGGAGCCCACGGGCCCCCCGGCTGGCCCCTCCCCTGGGGACTTGGCCAAAGTGTCAGACCTGGAAGTGTCATTGCATCACTGGGCATTTGGGGGTTAATGACGGGGAGTGGACAGGACCTGGGTATTTAACTAATTGGGGAGGTGCCCTGAGATCAGAGGTGCCCCTGCTCACTTCCTTCTCCCACAGCCCAGCTCCTTGGCCCCCTGCTTGCCTCCCCTCCCCCGAGGATGAAGTCTCCCCCTCTTCTGACCCTCCTTTGCCTCCTGGGTAAGTGATCTTCATGACCCTTGACTTTGCCCCACCCCAGCTGGGCACTCCAAGCTCCCCGGAGGCCCCTGGCCTGACCCTGGGGAGGCCATGGTGGGTCATCCTGAGGCCAATTCTCCCCAAACCAGCTCTGGCCAGCGAGAGGGGAGAGAAGGTGAAGAGTGCAGCCTGGGGGGCCTCGGGGGCCTGGGAAAGGGGCTGGTGGGCATCCCAGACTGCACACACGAGGCTCCCGCCACCCGCACTCCATCCTCCACCCCAGCTCCCATGTTAGGCTGCCACCTGCCCAGGCGGGCTGTCCCCCATCATTGCACCAGCAGGACCTGGAGGAATCCGGGGGGGCCCAGGTGGTTAGAAAGCCTATCCCGTGGCATCTGAGGAGACCTGGTGGGGACACAGTGCTCCTGGGGGCCCGGGGCTGACACCTGGGGAGACAATCAGGACCCACAGGGAAACATTTGAGGAACAGCGGGGAGCAACCGGGAAGATGAGTGGGGGCATTCTGGGAGATGGTGGAGGAGCGGCAGGGGGACTGGGTGCGCTGACATGATGGGGGTGAGGACTAGGAATCAAGGCAGGATGGAGGGCTCAGAGATATTGTTACTGATTAGCATCCTTGTTATTGCGAGTGAGGTGCTCGGCAAGGCGAAGTTAGCTGAACCATCAGAGAGGCCTCTGGACTCAGATTGGAGGGGCCCTCAGGGGAAGCTGGTGGCAGAGGGTGGGGCCCTGAGGATCTGAGGCCTCTGCTCTCCCTCCTCAAAGTGGCCCTGGCTGGCGGGAACCTGGTCCAGTTTGGGGTGATGATCGAGAGGATGACGGGCAAGCCCGCGCTGCAGTACAACGACTACGGCTGCTACTGCGGCGTCGGCGGCTCCCACTGGCCTGTGGACCAGACGGACTGGTGAGCAGGCAGCCCAGCCAGAGGAGCTCCCTGGGGAACGGAGGAGCTGGGGACACCTAAAAGTGGGTGCTGACCTCTCCCTGGAGCCCTTTGGGCCCTGAGCCCCCGGCAGCCCCCGGTCCAACCTAGCCTGGCTCACAGTCCACGCCAGGTCGACCGTGACCCTTACAGGTGCTGCCACGCCCATGACTGCTGCTACGGGCGTCTGGAGAAGCTGGGCTGTGAACCCAAGCTGGAAAAGTACCTTTTCTCTGCCAGCAGGCGCCGCATCCTCTGTGGTAAGTAAACAGCCCTAAGCACCCCAGACGCCAGGGAGCAGGGACAGCTTCAGACAGGAATCCCCTCCTGATGGTGACCCTTGGGCCTCGTCAGGGCCAAGAGGGGTGGGGTCTTCCATCATCACGGAATTGGGGAGAGGCCTGTCCCTCTGCCCAGATGCTCACCTGGCATCCAGTCTACAGAACCCCGGGACCCATCAACTCCTGCCCTGGCCCCAGGCACTGCCCCCCACCCCAAGGCCTCCTAGCTTCTGCCTCTGGGAAACAGCAAAGAGGGCAGAACTGAGCCAGGCCCCAGAGGAGCTGCCCTCACACAGCCCTCCCCAGGGGTCTGCAGCTAAAGGCCTGGTCCCCAGGACAGAGCCTCAAGAGCACACTCCCAGACAGAGAGAGCGGGCACTTTGATTTGGGACCGCAGAGCCTGTCCCCAAAGGCTGACTCTCCCCAGTGGGGCTGCCAGGCTGGGCCCTGTTGCTCAGCTTTGCCGGGTCCAGTGCCCACTTGGACCAATTAGCTTTCCTCTGGTCCCCGGCCCAGGGAAGCAGCCTGAACCAAGTGTGAGCGTGCAGGGCCTCAGGCAGCCCAGCCCCACGGAGGGAGCCCAGGTCAGAGACCCAGGTCTTCTTCCCACTGCACAGCCAGGGCGGGGTGGGCAGGCCCAGCATGGGGCACAGTGGAAGGACCTGGGAGAGTCAAAGAAGACTGAGCTCAGGTCTCTAAGGTCTGTCCTGGGGGAGGGGGAAGCCAGAACCAGAACCCCCAGGGGCAGTTTTGGCTCAGGGCTTCTTGCTTCTGCAGCCATCCACTCAGCAAGGCAGCTTTGTCAGGTAGTGAGCTCCCCATCACTGGGGGTTTGTGCAAGGTGGGGACGGCCACCTATCAGGGATGGCACTGAGAGGATGAGTGAGGGGATGTCAGGGGAATAGGGACACAGGCTCAGGGATTTGCTTTCTACCCGATGCGTGACTTTGGGCTAGCGGCCCTGGAAAGTCTCTGCCTCCTCGTCTGTAAAATCAAGATGAGCACTCTCACGTCCCTGGCTGAGGCCTGCTCCTCCGAGAATCACCTGAGAGAGCGACCGTGGTGGTCAAGCCCCCTCCACCTCTGAGTGTTGCTGAAACAGCAGGTGTGGGCAGAACCCTGACGCGAAATGGAGGCCGACCTTGAAGGGGGAAAGGAGAGCCCCGGGCACTTCTGAGCTGTGAGATGTATTCGTGGGGACAAGAAGGAGCCAGAGTCCCGCGGGCAAACAGAGGCAGCGGAGACAAAGGGAGGCTTTTGGGCTGAGTGTGGGCACACACTTGGAGAAGGGGGTGGGGGGCTAAGGCAAATGTCAGAAAATAGGGTCCGTCCACTCATGGAGGCAGGCATAGGGCCCGAGCAGGCCCCAGCCTCGGTCCCAGTGACCTCCAGTCTGGACGGGGGCTGCTCTAGGGCCTGCGCAGGCCACCTGGGATTGGGTTGCTGTCATTTCATAGCTTTCCTCTCGGCTTGACGGCTGCCATCCACCGTCAGCCATGCATCACACAGACAAAGGAGCTGCCTAGAGAGCCCCCGGCTGGGCCGACTAGAGTTAGTGGGCCAGATGGTCTCCCTGGGGGAGTGGGCTTGGGGGAGGAAGGAAGAACGGCTAGGACCAATTTCCAGCCTTCCCAGCCTCCCGGGCCCCAGCAGGACCCCCTCAGGCCCTGCCCTTTCTCTCACCCATCCTGGAACATCCTCCACGAAAAAGGGCTTCCAGCAGAACGGGGGTGAGAACGCGGACACCAGAGCAGTCCCACGTGTGTCTGAGAGCAGGAGGCCTGAGCAGCCGGGTCCCTGACTTGCCTTGTCCCATCCAGCTGGGAGAACCACCTGCCAGCAACAGACCTGCGAGTGTGACAAGAGAGCTGCACTCTGCTTTCGCGACAACCTGGGCACCTACAACCGCAAATACGCCCGTTACCCCAACAAGCTGTGCACCGGACCCACCCCGCCCTGCTGAGGCTGTACTCCACCTCCCAGGCCCCTGCCTCCTGCTGCTGTAGCCCCGGCCCTGGGGAACATGGGCACCGAAGGCCCTCCCTCTGGAAAATTCCTTTCCTGCAAAGCCATCCCTCCCTGAGAGCTCCCAGACCGTGGCCTGGACCATCGCTGACCTCCCAGACCACATCTTCCCCTTAGGAAGAGCTGAGCCCATGGGCCCTGGGACCTTCTGCATCCAGAAGACTCTATACCCCACCCCTGGGACCTCAGGTCCCTCTTCTGAACAAGTGAATAATGTTTGCCCATAATTCTAATATTCTCAGATTCCATCACTGTAGGATTTAATTAGTCTTCAGTTTCATTCATTCATTCATTTTCTGAGCACCTACTATGTGCCAGCAATATGCTAAGTACCGGGATTCGGCAGGAACAAATCTGACCTGGATGGCCCAACATGCAGTTTCAACATTCTGTCCTTTTAATTTTCCACTATGGCAAGTTTTTGTGATTCTCTTTTTCTAAAATTCTACAATCTTACTTAAGACAATAATGGCAGTCTCCAGAAGAAATACTTCTGGCCGTGTCACATAATGTGAGAAGCATGAAAAATACCAACCTAAAACTATTGTCCCCACTATGTCATCAGGTGTCAAATCCCTTTCATGAGCAAAGACTGGTTAAGAATGAAAGGAAGTTCTAGAATCATCTTATCCAAACCCCTGCTTTGACAGATGGGGGCCAGAGAGGGGAAGTTCTACCTGAGGGCGGCTCCTCACTCCCAGGCCAGTGTGTCTTCACTTCTTCATGAGTTGGTATCAGCCACTGACACTCTGACCCTCTGACTGTCATCTCACACAGACCAGGGTGGCCAGCGCAGGACAGCAGTGAGGGTGCCCAGGCCGGGTCAGGTTCCTGATACAGAGAGGGAAGTGGAGACATTCCAACATCCAACATGGTGGGGCCAACTCTGGCACCATAAAGGTTTTAATGCACCAAAGGATCCCCAGCCTACCCTGGGAACAATATAATTCAGCAGATTCTACTCTTAAACACAGATATAATATATCCACTATCTATAATATGATATGATAAATATATATATCTATAATATCATATGATATCGTATATAAATGATATGATTTTATATATATGACAAATACCATATATAAATGATAAATGGTCATATATATGATATCACATGATAAATATCATATATATCTATAATATGATATAGATATATCATATCTATACTATGATAAAAATTTCCAGGATTGGGATGAGCCTATTCAATGAGATAAAGCACGTAAGAAGGCATTGCACGGGGCAGAGCTCACAGGGGACACACAATAAATGTTCACTCCCTTTGTCCTTTTCATGCCGTGTGTACACCATTCAGGACTTTGAGGGCAGGAGAGAGCGTGAAGAAATAAAAGGGATGATCACCATAAACTGTAAAAGGTGAAGAAGTTCTGTGCTAGCAGAAGGAGGGAGAGCAGGTGTGCGCGCTTTGCTGCTATAACTGACTCAAATCCTCCGTCAAGAATCACCAGAAGACCAGATCTCAAAGCAAAAATGGGTCGCGTGGGGAAGAAAGCCGGCCGTCTCTGCTGGGGAAAGTGGTCCTGGAGCGCCCTCTGGTGTCCACTTTATTCAGGCTAATGGGGGAAACCTAAGTTTGGCTTAAACCTAGATTTCCCCTTTATCAGGTGGGCAAAGCGTGCTTCTGGGCTAGTGAAATCGCTCGCTCCGCATTGTAAATAATCAACATGCAGGGACATAACCACCTAAGTCCTTACAACCATCTCAGAATGATGGTGCCACTGCATAATGAAGAATCGCGGGAAGGGGGAACTGACTTGGGGAGGCGGAGAGAAGCTGTGCCCTGGGTGATGGATTTAAGGTTCCCATGGACGAGGACCTCATAACCTCATAGCTGTGTAACAATCCAACAAAGCGAAACTCAGAACTTAAGAACGAGACCTCAGAGCAGCCTGCTGTGACCTTTGGGCCAGAGACCAAGTCTTATCCTTTGTTTTCCCAGGGATCAATAAACGTTTGGTGACTGAATCAAGAGGTCTGTCTAAATTCCATTTGCGTGTGCGTGTCTATACTACACACACTTGGTTTCCAGCTGCAGACTTGTGGAAAGGACTAAAAAAAGGAGAGGAGAGCCCCAAACTTGAGGTCAGAGGTTCAGGTAGAAACCTCTGCTCTGCCAGTTAGCAGTTAGCATCTGTTGCAGAGCTCGCCGCTCGATGTGGTCTGAGGACAGCAGCAGCAACATCGTCAGGGAGCTTGTTAGAAATGCGGAATCTTGGATCTGACCCCAGACCCGCTGAGTCAGAATCTGTAGGTTAAGACGACCCACAGGTGATTCGTGGGCACGTTAAAATCTAAGATGCACTGATACACAGGCACAGCTTCAGTTTCTGCATTTGGAGAATGGAACAAGGACATTTCCCTGGCAGGTCCATTGTGGTAAGGTTTCAGTAAGTTAGCTTGTGTGAAAGTACACAAAATAATGCCTGGCCACATAATAAACATTTGTATTCTATAAATGAATGAATGTAGTCATAATAACAATAACAGCTAACATTTATTAAGCATTTGGCATTGACTAGGGACTGTTTTAAGTACTTTACGTTTCTTAATTCATTGAATGAATGAATGAACGAACGAATGAGGCATGGGGGCTACAGCAAGCCTGGAGAAGAGACTTCGTTCCCCGGATGTTTCACAGCTTCCCTCTCCAATTCTGACGACAGGATTTGGATTGTTTTTGCTTTTGTTCTCACTTAGCCCCTAACAAAAGCTACTAATGAAGCGCTCAATTAAATAACTCACTCAGTGCTTAGAAATCACACTGGAATTCCCGAGTTAACTCAAGAGTCTGATTATGATATCAGGACGTCCATCTGCTTCTCTGGGGGGTTTTCTGCAGTGTCGCTGCTGGAGAACTGGACACCGTATTAAAGCTTATTCTTTCCTTCAATATGCTTTCATACAAACTATGCTCCTGGCCCCTTCCTGAATGCTGGAGATGGAGACAAATCAGATGTGGCCAACCGGCAGACAGACAATTGTTCTACACTAGTAAGTGCTGTCACAGAGCTACGATCGGATTAGCAGGATCAAAGTTTCTTCAGCCTTCCATCCTCCATCCTGTCCATCAATGCCAGCTGCATCTTCCCACAGCTTGATTTCCATCACGTTACTCCTCAACTCCTGAACCATCAATGGCTCCCCATTGTCCACCAGCACTTGGCATTCAAGTTTGGTATCATCTGCTTTTCCAGTCTCATTTATCCAGCCATATGTATTTCTCTATGCTCCTCACCGCTCCCAGAATATGCCCATTGCCTTCCTGCCTTCACACCTCTGTGCAGTAGCTTCCTTCAACCTAGAAGCTTCCCTGCTCACTCACCACCATGTTAAAATCCACGTGCTTTAAGGTGCCTCCCCAACGCAACCTTTTCCACGATGCTTGTCCACCTGGAGCAGATTTCACCCTCCTCTGAATGTCAAGCAGTGTGTTCATGCCTTTCCTGGTGTCGCTTACCCCAGGTATTTGGGTTCTTGTTTGGGGTGCCTATCGGGTGGAGGCAGATTGCCCTGGGTTCAGTTCCTGCCTCTGCTACCAATCTGATCCTGGGCCACTTATGTATTCTCTTGTGTGTCAGACGGGGACAGAACCGTCAGCCAGAGTGGTTGCAGGGTTTAAACGAGACAACGTATTCAAAGTGCCTGGAGCCTTGGAGAAGCTCCAGCCATGCTGGGTCACTTCAGGATTTTTGCTTCCCCTATTGCCTCCATCCCACAGGAGATGCTAAATAAATCTGTTCACTAGATGCCCCAGAAACCTGATCATTGGAAGTACTTTGGGGAGGCGGCATCATGTGTATGATAAACGCGTTACTCACTGATTTGAACAGCCCCTCGGCTCACTCCTCTGAGTGCTCATTTATCTTACGTGGACACGCGTTTGAAAATCATCAACCTTCAGTGCCCTGAACCGACATCTCACCAAGGCAATGGGGCAAGATTGGCTGGAGAGACGTTGTGCAGCGCTCCTGCTGGAGGGCTGCTGCCTGAGATGTGTTCCAAGGTCAAAACGCACACCGGGGCCAACTCCTGACACTAAAACAGTCAGGATGGATGCGGTACACCCCGTCTTTAGAGTTCATGCAGCAAGCACAGCATTTCCCTTCCAGTAGCAAAAGGCATATGACAAGTGTTGGAAGAAACAAGTTTCCAGTCTTTCGCCAAACCAGTTGTATATCCTTCATAAACTGTCCTAAACACGAGGGACATCCCACTCTAGGTTTTGCTTATGCTGGTGCTTCAGTCCAAGATGCCTTCACTCCCTATTTCCATATTCTGTCTCCCCTTTCCTGCCTAGTCCAAAAGTCACTTCCTCCGATAAGCCTTCCTTGATTTCCCTTCTGAGTTCACAGCCCTCCTTGATTTCCCTTCTGAGCTCACAGCCCTCCTGTCACTACCTCCCTTAATGGTCTGTGTTCTCTTGGGTCATATGATGTGTCCATTTTCCCTCCTGGACTGGAAACTTCTTGAGGACAACATCCACTTCTGATTGAATGCCCAGAAATAAAGACCCACACGCAGCACAGATTCAGGAAATGTTAGACAGATTCCTGGATGTTTAGATGGGTGAATAAGTGACTAAAAACTGACTATCTTGAGATATCGAAGTCCCTCCACCACAGGTAGGTTCAGACAAGTATCTCCCAGCTGGACAATTTTTCCTTCTGCCAAGCCAGCATCTTTGAAGTGACTGGATTGGTCTTGATCCTTTACAACAGTTTACTTTAAAACAGTTCTGAGCCTCAGCCTCACGGTGGTCTGAGCGTCCGCTTGGGCTGCAGTCCAGCAAAGCCACCTTGGCGCAGAGCACATCATGACAAACTTTGATAGTGTCTCAAGGCACGCTTACGCCTCCGCATGCCGGGGACAGGGCTTTGCTGTGGCGTCTGGTGAACAGGTAACTTGAACCTGGGTTTTCAACCCGGCTTTCTCCTAGGCAACCATGGGCAATTCGTTTCCAAGAAGGGACACTGAAACAGCCACTTTCCCCGTTATGGTATTTCAATCTTTAGCTCATAAATTGTCACTCCCTCCGAGTGAGCAATGCTATAGCCTTAGAGGAAAATAGAAATAATAAACCATGTGTTCTCTAATTATTCCCTACCTGGCCTGAGAACACTTCCGTCCTTACAGAGGCATCCAACCTCACAGACAGAGCCTCACAGGTCCTCTAGACCCAGGCAGGAAGCCCCTCAAATACCACCCGACTTACCAGTGGCCCCTTGGCCTGGCCCCTGCTGAACCACTGTGGAGACGGCACTAAGGAGCCAGGAGTTCCCAGCGGCGGGGAGGTGTGCCTAAATCGGGGCATCACTTTAGTCCTGGCAGATCCTTCAGAAGGACTCAGCTGGGCTAACAGGGATCAGAATGGGTGCCTCACGGGCTCAGGAACTGGAGAGTGTGTGCACCCAGAGGTCCTCAGTCGTGGACCAGGGTAAAAATCACACAAGGATTCTTTTCTTTCATCCAGGGTATACCAGATACCTTTTGTATCAAGGTACTGTGGAGTCAACTAAAAGCTGCCTGATAAGTATGAGTTAGAACCAGAGAGAGTGGGAGTCTCCAGGCCGAACTCACAAGGACACAGCGAGGCCTGGTGCGACGGCCCAGAGGCCGGTGGGGGCTGGCCCTACTGCACGCACTGAGGGGGTCTCCTCCCTCTGGTTTCCAGTGGCCACCCTCCTCCTCCTCTTCGGAGGACCTGTTCTAGCTGAGTCCATGCTCCCATCACTTCTGTCCCCGTGTGTCTGGGGGACTGTGCCCCCTCCTAGAATGGGGTCAAACCAACCTTCGGAGTTCTGGAGAAACCCCAAGCTGGCAGCCAACAGACAGCTGCTCCATATTCAGACAACTTCGAATTGTCAGAGATGTTCTCAGACATTAAGCAGAGATCTTCAGCGCTCAGTCCTCTGGATGGCTCTGCCTGTGTGTGGTGGCTGTGCTCGCCCGTGCTAAAGCTACAAGTGGCGGTTTTAAGCTCAGCGAGATTCCAAACAATTAAACAATGGATTGACATTCACACCTCTTCCATGCACAGGTCTCCCAGGAGGATGCTTCCCGGCATGCTCTCTCAGACTCGTGCGCGCAAACAGTGGTCGGAGAGTGACAAAAACCACCCAAAACTCTGTCTTTAAACTAGAATTTATTGTCATACAAAACTCCATTTCATAGATAAAGTGGCACATCTTTGCAGCTTCTATTGCACCAAGTATTGAAGGTTAAAAACACAAAAAAAAGAAACATTTGGTTTTGAAAACACTGCAAATAGCCAAGTACAGTACTTTGGTAAATAAAAAACAAAATGGTTCAGATCAACACACTCTGTGGAAAGAAACACGCTAGAGGAAATGACCTACGGACATCGACGAGGGCCACATTTCTCCCCATCGAGCTCCACAGATAAGGCAAGACTTGCTAAGTCTATGGATCATGAGCCCATGGAGGTCTGAAATATCTCCAGACTGAAGCTAGAACAAGTATAGTGCAATTAGAAAAAAAAAAAGAGAAGGTTCCTGAGCCTGTGAAGGCCCCTATGTTCTCCACAGCCACACCTGCCCTCCTTCATAAAGGCGGCTGACGCCCACCAGCACTTGTACATCAGCAAGAGGAACACATAGGTTTCAAGTCCAACTCCTGGCTCTTTTCTTCTTCCCACTGAGCTCAGTGCTGGTGGAGGATGCTGGAAGGGCAGCCAGGGAGGCCAAGGGCCCTTTCCACTATGGAAAATGAAAAGTGAGAGTGAGAAGATATGAGGAGCCCCACACCAGCATTCCCCAAGTTTTGGTCGAAGGACCTGCCAGGGGATCAAATCACAGGCTAAGGTCTCTGAATGAGCTCAAATGATTGTCATGGACGGCTGGCAACAGCAACCTGCTGGAGGCTGACATGCAAAGGACTAGGGGCAGACCACAGAAGTTTCATACAGTGATCATTACACTCCACGACCGTCAGCACAGTGAGCGGAAGTTCTGTATCACTGGTATGTTCTGCTTCCAATAAAGACACCACGCAGAAGCTCCTGCTTTTACAGAAATATACTCTTTACTGGTATCAGCCCCTTCTCAAGTAACTTGGCAAGGATGCTAAGCATTTTAATCAAGCTACAAAGTCATCCTAATTAGGATAGAGAGACTCCGGAAAGTAATCCCTTGGAAGAAATGGTTAAGAGCCTGAGGGTTTCACAGGGACTGGACCTTGGGACACAACAGGGCCAGGCAGTACACAAGGCCCAGCTCTTCCCCAGGGCCAGGCTCTGCGGCACATGTTTCAAGTTCCACATTGCACAAGTGCTTTCAGACTGGGGCTCGCTATCTCCACTCGAAGCCAGTTATCCACATCCCCCTCTAATCTGTGACGGCAGAAGATGTGTTATCATTTAAATATGCCATCTAGATCCTCAACGATACCAGTGGAAACACACAATTTGCTTCAGTCAGGAACACACACCTTGCAAAAAGTGCCATCATTAAATCACCTCAGAACAACTGCTGGAAGGCCCCAGAGTTTTAGCAGCACCTGTTCTGAAAGCTGAGATGAAGGACAGCGAACAATGAGGCCAGCAGGACAGAAAGACAGCATCAGACTCCGAGTCTAACGGTTTGCCACAGACAGACAGAGCCTGGAGGTAAAAAGGCGAAGAGCTATGCATCTACCCAAAACGGGAGTCGGGGAGGGCCACAGATGTGACACACTGAAACCGAGACGCTCCATTCCCAGCCCGCCCACCAGGACGCCGCAGGTCAGGGTGACTTGGGCAGCTCTGACTAGGAATCCCAGCTTCCTTTAACCGACTGCATACTCAAGGTGAACGTTCCACAGAGGTAAACGGACAGCATTCTCTGTTGACCCAGTAAAACCCAGGCAGAGTGTGTAGTTTCTCAGAACGAGAGAAAGTGCACATTGTCGACAGGGACTCACTGCGAGTACAGGTCAAGGCCAAAGTCCACGTGATACCTACCTACTTAACATGTGAGCAACCCCCACTTAACACGGCCCCTCCCACCTCACACAGTGAAAGCTCCCCAGGGACGCGGGGCAGGGCATTATAAATTTCCGACACAAATGTTCCCTCCGAGTCCAGCTCAAGCTGCCCCACAGGGAGAGCCCACTTCACAAGCCCTCGGAATCAAAACGGGTTTGGAAGCGTTCTTACAGTTCATAAAAGAAACGAGAGACAACCTCAACTAAACTAAAATCCTTCTTTCTGCCACAATTCCTCAACCAGACTTTGCTCCTGAAAGGACATGTTCATGTTATTGAAAAATTAAATATACATACACATTCTATTCTCTAATTGGTGGCAACTATACTATTTAGAAGTTGTGGTTCTACGTTGTTTTAATACATCTACCTCTCTAGTACAAAGCTGTTGCCACTAAACTTTTATTTCTTATTTGGACATTTAAAAAATCTTTTTTTAAAATCCATAAAACCTCTATATACAGTTTACGAGACTAGTAAGCAGCTAGGACCACTGCCCCAGCCCTTTCCTCCCGGCCTCACTGAAAGATACCAAGACAATCCCATGTAACACAAACCTCTAACAGCCAAGGAACAACACAGAGGGGAAGGAAGATTCGCTTCCTAACGCGGAGTCACATGAGCGCCTGCACTAGGGGACAGGCACTGACAACAGCCATCCCAGAACTAAATGCACGGGGCCCCCACTGTGGCTGCCAGTGGACTACTTTTCAAGTGCTTAGCAAGGCAGCCAAGTATATGGATTCCATCTACCTCCTACTTCGCTGAGACTGAGGCAGTGAAGTCTAAACTCAACCCTAGCTAGAAGACAGCACTAAAGTTGGACACATACACCCCATTTCTAATAATTAACATACTGAACACAGATCAATTGTAACTAGAAAACCATGAAATGGAAACAAAAGAAAATTACTGAAGCTATTTGATTAGTTTTTAAAACCACTATTATTTTACCCTAGAAATGCTGGTCTGTTATCAGAATTAGGTAATTTATAAATAAATGTGCCCAATATTCTTTAATAACTTTAACAACTTATAAAACTTCTAAAACCCAAAAGGGCCTAAGGCCACCTTCATTCACCAAGTAACTAAAGCAATTCTACTATTTCTGACAATGGGACTCCCTTAAGCTATTTCTGACTCCTAATTCTGCTCAATTTCTGATGCACAATCTTGATCTTTCTGAGAGGATCTGGGCTGCTGCACTCTCGCAGCACAGACAGACAAGAAAGAGTGTTCCTTAGAGAAGCTCAGCCACAGGATCTGCCCAGAGCTGAAAGCCAAGAGAACAGGAGATCCTGAGGCAGTGGCCCTCACTCCTTCGGAGACAGCAAGGCAACGCGGACCCTTCCCACGTTTGGACTGACTGCTCGAGCCTCAAACTCAGAACTCTGGGATGTGCAAAGAAAAAGTGCTGTGCAGTTTCCAAATCTGCTAACTATTACAATGTACTGTACCAGGAAGAAGCCCAAAGCACCATGTCCTGGGAGCAATTCCAAGAGACTACTGATAATCCAACCACAAAAAGTCACCAATTCAAACAGACAAAAATTAAAGTACATTATCAAAACAGAAGAAAGCAAAGTGCCTGCTAATAGAGACAACCCAATGATCCAGGGCCAGCCCAGACAACGACACATCTACAAGTCAAAACTTTTTCATAGTTTTCCCTTCACCTCAGAACTTTCATAATTTTGAAACTTGAGTGGCGGGAGAGAGAATTTGCCTTTTGATTCAGCATATATTAATCATCCACATATCAGGTCCCCAAACAGCAAAGACTGTCCCAGACTGGCCACTTCACTCAGGAGACGGCACATCCGCTAACTCGGTTTCAGGAACAACATCTCTCCACTGCCCACATCTGTCCGTTTCAGAACTCCAGAGCGGAGTCATTCAAAGGCCTCAGCCCAAGCATGTTCTCTGCCCTGTAGGTCTGACCTAAGTCATCGACAACTGTCAGATGCTGGAGAGTTTTTCCAACATCAAAATCCCAAACAGCAGCTCAAAAAAAAGAAATAAACACAGCATTTTATGAGTTTTCATTTTCACAATAGTAAGAAAATTTAACAACAGACCACGTTACCTTTTACTTCTCCGAAGGCATCTTTCTGAGTCTAGGATAGTAGGGAAGAAAATAGTTACTTCACATGCAAACACGAAACACCTGAGATATTCTTCCAGACATCCTTCCCCTACAAAATCCAGTAACTCTTCAGACTCTTCCTAGACAAAAATTCAGAAATCCCTTGCTTCCTCCCTTTGCAACTAGGGCTTCTGCTCTCCATTCTATCAGAATCCCAGAACCATGTGAGCAGTAACATACCGTCTCCTCATTGTCAAAGACAACTACCAAAAACTCAACAACGCTCTTTATTTTCCAGCAAAGCCCAGGCCTAATTAACAGTCAGGCGCATTTATCACATGGCTTGAGGGCAACGGACCAACAGCACGTGCATCCTACCTGAAATAACATCAGAATCAGTAAGGAGAGGAACACAGTTGTTTAGTTTCCCCCCTGACTACAGGCCACAGCCTCATATCATATTACTTTGGGAAAACACTTCCTGAATTATTTTCTGATTAATTTGGTTTAGAAGAAAATTAAATCTAAACAGGTTCCTGAGTTGGAGATTGCTTATAAACCATCCTGTGTATCAATATCTATTTGAAAATGAAAGAGAAACTTGTCATTCTGAATTTCTAGCAACTAATCTAAACGACTTCATGAACAATTACAACAAAACTCACCACAAGTGTTAAGGAAAGCTCCAGCGTCACTTAACTCTGATGTTTAGGGGAAATAAAACCACACTTAAAAGGTTTTTCCTGACCCAACTATCCACCTCTAAAACTCGATATTTTAATTACAGAACATGAATGGCTTCACTGCACTTTCATAAAATAAAACACATCACTAACAAAACTTTGAACAAAAAAGAGGCAGCTTGAAGGAAATTAACTCAGAGTGCAAGCCTCCGTGTGGATTCCGCAGGCTGTGTCTCATCCTGTCGAGGACGGCCTCACTGGAAAGCCTGGTACGCAGCGGTCCATTTTCCATCCACGCCTGCGACTCCCAGAGGGCCAGAGTCAGATGTTGAGAGCAGCGAAGGTCTTCACCAAGGTGACCTGCGTGTTCGCATCTGCTTCACTTCTGTTGTCCCTATGGTTGCTCCTGCTCTCCAGGGCTTTGTGACGGTGCCTCTCCTCCTGTCGTTTCTTCTTCTCTAGTCGCTGCTGCTCTTTCCTCTGTTTGTTTGTGACCTGAAAGAGAAGATAGCTGGTGAGGCGCCAGCACGGCTGACTCAGGCTGCCGCCTGCTGAAGAAAGACGTGGGGCTGACAGAGGCAAAGGGCACACGCTGCCTTTCAACAACCGCAGAGGAAACCCACCCAACTGACCAAAAATTATTTTCCATCACTGCTCAAATTTACACTTAAATTTCTATCCCTTTGCTCAGCTAGCAAACAAAATCAACTCCATTCTCCTCATAAACCAATTCAAAACGAACTGAAGAAACATTAACCCAGTCCAGCAAGAGATAACACTCAAACAGGCCAGAGGACACCTTTCTCTACATAATTTAGTGGCCCAGGGAATCCTAACACAGTCCTCAGAAGCTTCCTGCATCTTTGCCTCTGCCTGTGGCTTTTATTATATTGCATTTTGAGCTGAGAATTTCTTGGTCAGGACTTTAAAATGAACTCCAAATTCAGTAAAATGAACGGTGTCATATACTACTTGTGGGAGTCGGGGGTGGAGAGGGGAGACATACAACATTTTGGGGAAGCACTTGACAATTTACCAAAAAGCCTTGAAAAGATTCAAAGATCCATGCCCTTTAACCTGTCAATTCTTCTTCTGGGACTCCAGCCAAGAAAATAATGCAAAATACAAGGATTTGTACACAAAGTTGTTCACTGTGGATGACGGCATTAATGAGAAATAGGAGTTTAGCACGTCGATTAACCGGGAAGCACCCAGACATGTAGTAACCTTAGGTGGGCAAAGGAGACTACGTGTGCACACAGAGCACAGGGCGTTCTTCCTTCCTTTGGCGTAGGTGACCTTCCTACGCCAAACAGGACGGGCAAGGTCTTCATTCTGCTTCTTGATATACCCTCATGCACTCCCCGTATCTTCTACAGTAACTACTTATACAGACCAAAAGAAAATGACGCACTAAAATAAACTCCAAGTTCCCACCACCACCACCACCGCATTACAGCAGCAACCATGTCCCCTCCACCCCATCTTTCATACCTTTGGGAGCTGGTTTTTATTTGCTTTGTTTTCTTCACTTGGGCTGGCCCGCGCCTTATTGTTTTCAGTCCTGCCTTCATTTAAGCCCTGGTTTCCAAAGCCTCTGGTGTCACTGCCACCCTCCTCCCATAAAGGGCCATACTGTTTCAGTACTCGGCCACTGGACTCGAGGTTCTCCTCTGCATCTTCCAAAGAAAGATATTTTATTAGAATTGCGAACCTAAGACAGTTACACAATGCGATCGTTGTTAAATGACTCCAAAAATACCTGGGTTCCTAGATCACTGTCATTTGGAAAGCAGGTTTCCTTGAGGCAAAATTCTAACACCAAGTCAATACAGCGGGCAAGATAGGGAAAAAACCACTGGTAAAATTGGGAAGAGAAATTTAAAGCAACGTGTTTACCAGCATCATCATCAGCTTCCCACCAGCAGAGTCTCTTATTAGATTAAAGCACTTTCGACCATGAATTTTTAGGGGGGGATCTTTCATTCGCACCCAAAAACCAGAAAAGAAATAGGCTCTGAAGCTGTGATGTCCAATACAGTCGCCACTGGCCACATATGGCTATTTAAATTCAAATTAATTACAGCAAAATAAAATTTAAAATTTAGTTCCTCAGCCTCACTTAGCCACATGTCAAGTACCCACCACACTGGACAGCACGGACACGGGGCAGGGCCACTTTAGAGTCACAAAGACCACACTACTTACAGTTTTCTAAGAAGGCTTAGCAAACATATAAAGAGGATGGTAAAATACCCAATCACATAGAAATCTACCATGCCAGGAACAGTATCTGGCACATAATATCTGGCAGTGCAAGTACTGAAATCATTTTAAATAAATGACAGTAAATAAAAAACAGTAAGATGTCACATCTTTTTCCCTCCCTCTAAGACACAAAATTAAACTCAGTTCAAGTAAAAAAAGTCTGAATTATCAGCAGTTGATAGGTTCTAGTAATTTAAATATTTCCATCAGAAAAATAAGGTATTTTTCTCTCCATAAATTTTGGTTATCATTTTGGTTTTATAAAGGAGTCTTAACTCTCAAAGGACAAAGTCTTCCCTGACACTCTCCACCCCTTCCCAAACTGGGTGAGGTGGCCTTTTCATGTGCTCCCCCAGCACCCTGCCCCCGACTCCATTAAGTATTGTTGTATCTGTTTACTTATCTGTCTCCAGTGCCCTAGATGATAACCCGCATTCTGCTGGATGAATAAACGACAGTATAATTACTACCCGTGACTCAATTAAAAATAAATATTTGGAAAATGGCCAATACAATCATTTTGAAAGCTCATAAATATCCATCACAGACTTACTATTTCTTTTCCCCTGGTTCATCTGAAGCATGGCAATTATTGCAGATTCAATATTATAGTTTTCAGCTTCCAGGTTCTGGACTATCAAATCAAAATCCTATCCAAGAAACAAAGGAACACTTCAAGACTATGGGTATATTTTTCTACCTATCACTACTTCAACAATTTGATAAATAAAAAGATGCAATAGTGAGAACTGAGGCAAGGTTTCAAGACCCTTTCCATTCAGAAAATGTCTTAATTTTCAGTAACGTTGGTTATCTGAAATAACTATTTAAAATAAATACATTCTTTATAAAACAGCACTGATGAGAAAAAAATAAATCCACAGACTTCCTTAGGATTTTGAGCAGTATTGGGTAAAGTCTAGCAAACGAGAGGGAAATGAATAAACAGCTCTCATTAAGTCACATCGCATAACCTAATCAAACTACAAACATCATGGACCTTTTGTGGTCCAGCAGGTGTTGGCACACTAGAGCGGAGCTACAGAACCAGCAGGTAAGCTGGGCACAGCACCGCTCGTTACAAATCATTACCACTGCAGGACAGAAACACTAACTGAACATCCAGTTGCACTGCACACTTTCTGGACAGCATCTTCTACTTCATCTCTCAGGTCATCTTCAAAGTCCACTCCTTTTGTCTTGATCTTTTCTCTTTTATTTGATTCATCTTGATGAAGCATCTGAAACTAAAGGAATTATAAAAAGTAATAATCATGGAACTTGAGCAAACTATGTTTAGAATCCTCAACATAGGAAGATGCCCTAATCTCAAAAACATTCAAATATATGGGGAAAAGACTCTAAGAACAACCTTAAGGGAATAGCAATGACTAGGCTAAATTTGATCCAGACATTGAGATTCCAGGCCACAAGAGAAGTATTACAAAGAAAGGCCCAGAATACAATTCCATTTACAATTGCAACAAAAAGAATAAAATACCTAGGAATAAACCTAACCAAAGAGGTAAAGACCTATACACCAAAAACTATAAAACACTGTTGAAAGAAACAGAAGAAAAATATTCCATGCTCTTGGATTGGAAAAATTAACATAGTTAAAACGCCCATACTTCCTAAAACAATCTACAGGTTCAATGCAATCCCTATCAAAGTTCCAATGACATTTTTCACAGAAATAGAACAAAGAATCCTAAAATTTATATGGAATAACAAAAGACCACAAATAGCCACAGTAATCCTGAGAAAAAAGAACAAAGGTGGAGGTATCATACTCCCTGATTTCAAAATATACTACAAAACTATAGTAATCAAAATAGCATGGTACTGTCACAAAAACAGACACACAGATCAATGGTAGAGAATCGGGAGCCCAGAAATAAACCCAAACACCTATGGACAGCTAATTTTCAAGAAGGGAGCCAAGAGCACGCAATAGAGAAAGGAACGTCTCATCAATAAATGGTGTTAGGAAAACTGGAGAGCTACATGTGAAAGAATGAAAGTAGACCCTTATCTTACACCATACACAAAAATTAACTCAAAATGCATTAAAGATTTGAATGTAAGACCTGAAACCATGAAACTTCTAGAAGAAAACATAGTCAGTATGCTCTTCGACATCAGTCTTAGTAGCACATTTTCCACTACTGTGTCTGACCGGGCAAGGGAAATAGAAAAAATAAACAAATGGGGCTATATCAAACTAAAAAGGTTCCACACAGCAAAGGAAATCAACAAAACAAGACGACAACCTAACAATTGGGAGAAGATATCCGCAAACCATGTATCTGATAAGGGGTTAATATCTAAAATATATGAAGAACTCACACATTTCAACAACAAAAAAACTAACAACCCAATTAAAAAATGGGCAAAAGAGCTGAACAGACATTTCTCCAAAGAGTATATACAGGTAGCCAACAGGCAGAAGAAAGGATGTTCAACATTACTAATTACTGGGGAAATGAAAATCAAAACTACAATGAGATACCACCTCACACCCATCAGAATGGCTATAATTAACAAGACAGGAAATAACAAGTGTTGGAGAGGATGTGGAGAGAAGGGAACTCTCATACACTGCTGGTGGGAGTGCAAACTCGTGCAGTCACTATGGAAAACAGTACGGAGATTCCTCAAAAAATTAAGAATAGAACTACCATACAATCTAGCTATTCCACTGCTGGGTATTTATCCAAAGAACATGAATGCATAAAGATATATGCTCCCCCTATGTTCATCGCAGCATTACTCACAATAGCCAAGACTTGGAAGCAACCTAGGTGCCCATTAAGGGAAGAATGCATAAAGAAGATGTGGTGTGCATACACAATGGAATACTACTCAGCCATAAAAAAGGATGAAATCTGGCCATTTGTGACAATGTTGATGGACCTTGAGGATAATGTATTATCCTAAATGAGAAAGTCAAATACCATATGATCTCACGAATAAATAGAAGATAAGAGCAACAACAAACAAACACATAGAGACAGAGATTGGATTGGTGGTTACCATAGGGGAAGTGGGGAGGGAGGAAGGCGAAAGGGGTGATTAGGTACATGCGTGTGGTGATGGACTGTAATTAGTCTTTGGGTGGTGAACATGATGTAATCTACACAGAAATTGAAATATAATGATGCACATCCGAAATTTATATAATGTTATAAACCAATATTACTGCAATAAAAAAAAAGATTCCTTCTAGCTCTAATAAACATCCTGAGATTTTTTTAGTCACCAAAAAAGAAAAAAGAAAGAAAGTCCCAAGATACGGGATAAACTATTCAGCAAGAATGGCATTAGAACTCCTAGAGTTTCTAGATACCAAGATTTTGGGAGTGACTGCTAACTCGTGCAGCACACATCTGTCTCAACTGATTTCCAGAGCTGTGAGCTTAATGACAGCAGAGATCCTCTACACTAGCACCCGCCAAGCTTTTGCAGCAGGACAACTCGTCTTGAAGAAACATACATACGCTTCTCATCTGGTTCGCCAGGCTCCATTTGATCATCAGCAACCTTCCGTGCGAAGCTCCTGTGCCAATGGACAGGCACAGGTGAGCAGGACTCATCTAACCTCGTGTGCACACCACCACACTCACGGGAACCTGTCAATCCAAATTCTAAAACCACAAAGAGCAGCTCACTTGGCGTCCATGAGGCCTTTACAAGCCAAGCCTAAAGCAGAAAAGGTAAAATCATCCCTCCGGCTGCTCAGGTGCCTTCTCCCTCTGCTTCCTATTAACGCAGGGAGATGGTAAACGGGCAAGGACACTTCTATTTTTCGCATGTAAAAGTGTAAGTGGAATCCAGTAATGTGTAGTATATTCCTTAAAATGCTAATAAAAAGCAACCTATTATAAAATAATACCCTGACAATTTGGCAACGTGAACCAAGAGTCTTTGAAATTTATCCAAAGGAAATGTGTCAAGCATAGACAAGATTCATGTAAAAGTGCACATCACAGTGCTATCCAAGTGGTGAAGGACGGGGAACATCCTAAAGCTTCCAGAGTGTGGGGACCATTAAACAACCACAGTAAATCCGTAGAATGATGCTTCATTCCCATTAAAGTGAGGAACACAATAAAGATTTTCACTACTACTGTTATTATTTAACAAGGTTTTGGAGGTAACAGCTAATGCAATTAACCAAAAAGAAAAAAACGAAGTATAAAATTGAAAAGGTGGGGCCGGCCCCAGGGCCGAGTGGTTGGGTTTGCACACTCTGCTTCGGCGGCCTTCGGTGGCCCAGGGTTTCACCGGTTTAGATCCTGGGCACGGACATGGCACCGCTCATCAGGCCACACTGAGGCAGCGTCCCACATAGCACAACTAGAAGGACCCACAACTAAAATATACAACTATGTACTGGGGGGATTTGGGGAGAAAAAGCAGGGGAAAAAAAAAAAGATTAGCAACAGTTGTTAGCTCAGGTGCCAATCTCTAAAAAAAAAAAATTGACAAGGAAGGAGAAAAGTTATCACTATTTGCAGATGATATAATTCTATACCCAAAAAACAGAGTGAACCAAAACACTACGACAAAGAAGAAGAATTCTGGCAAATCACGTATCTATAAGAATCTGGTATCCAGGATATACAAAAAACTCTTACAACTCAACAACAAAAGCACAAATACCCCAGTTAAAACATGGGCAAAGGACTTGAATAGACACCTCTCCAAAGATATACAAATGGCCAACAAGCACATGAAAAGATGCTCAACATCATTAGTCATTAGGGAAACGCAAATCAAAACCATGAGACACCACTTCGTACCTAGTAGGATGGCCATAATTTTAAAAGGGAAGAAAGAAAAACAGTATTGGTGAGGATGTGGAGAAAGCGGAATCCTCAACAGATTGCTGGTGGGAATGTAAAACACTGCGGCTACTGTGGAAAACAGTGTGGCAGCTCCTCAAACAGTTAAACAAATAACTACCATAGGAGCCAGCAACTCTATTCCTAGGTATATACCCGAAAGAGTGAAACAGGTACGCAAACAAATACTATACACAAATATTCACAGCAGCACTCTTCATAATAGCCAAAAGGTGGAAACAACCCAAATGCCCATCAACAGATGAATGATAAACGAAACGTGGGATATCCATACAATGGAATATTATTCAGCCTTAAAAGAGAACCAAGTACTCAGATATGCTGCAACACAAATGAACCTTGAAAACATTACGCTAAGTGAAAGCCAGACACAAAAGGCCACATACTGTATGATTCCATTTCTATAAAATGCCTAGAATAGGTCATTCCATACAGACAGAAAGTAGACTGGTCATGGCTGGAGGAGAAAGGAAAGGGGGAGTGAGTGCTTATTGGGCACGAGGTTTCCTTTTGGGACGATGAAAACGTTTTGGAACTGGATGGAAGAAGTGGCTGCACAGCTTTGGGTTCGGCAGTACTCAGGGCCACTGAATTGTACACTTTAAAACGGTTAATTTTATGTTATGTGAATTTTACCTCCATTAAAAAAAGAATTCTGTAGGATAGCTGGTACACACATAATTAACATTTTGTTAACAACTCTCATATATACAGCTAGATAACAAGCTGGGAAATGTAAAGGGAAAAGATCCTTTCCTCACAATAGGATCAAAAAACACAAACATCTAAGAATAAACTTAGCAAAAAATGGGAAAGACCTACATGAAGAAAACGCTCCTCCAGATCACCAAAAAAGTTGATTAGACAAATAAAAAAGCTTATCAGGTTCTTGGCTAGGAAGATTCAACATCATAAAGATGTCAATTTTTCCTTAAGTTAATCTATTAATTTAATGAGATCCCAATAAAAACAAATATCAACAGAACTTCTTTTTAACTAGACATTCTAACATTCATATATCAAACAAAAAAAGAATATACAGGAAAGTATAAAAAAAGTAATGAGTGAAAAATTCTACCAGATTTTAAAATAGACTCTTACTTAATTAACATAATGAACACATTAACACATGAACAGAGAAACCAGTGAAGCAAAATCAATGTCTAGAAATAGAACCACACGCATATGGGAATTTAGTGTATGAAAAAAGGCGGCATTTTGAATCAGTAGAGAAAAGCTGTATAATTAATAAATGTTTTGAATACAACTAGGTAACCACAAGGAAAAATACAGAGTTGGATCCAAACCCTCATACCTTTATATGAATATAAATTCCAAATAGAGACAAGATTTCATTTTCTTTAAAAAAAATGAAACCATAAAAGTGCTAAAATAAACGATGGGAGAATTCTTTCTAACCTCAAGAGTGGGAAAGGCCTTCCTAATTATGACCCCAAACCCCGAAGACGTAAGAAAGCTTGATAAATTTAACCACATAAAAATCTAAAATTCCTTCAGAGCACAGAATAAAAACACAAATAATAGGCTGTGAAAAAATATTTGCAACTCATACCACAGACAGAGGTTAATAATTTCCCTAATACATGGTCTCCTAAAAATCACTAAGAAAACTTAATAGAAAAAAAATAGGCAAAGAAAATGAATACAGCTCACAAAAAAGGAAATAAAAATAAGTCAAATAAAGTAACTAGTAAGAGAAATACAAATTAAAACTACGTTAACAATTTTTCCCCTAGCATCGAAAAAGATTAGAAAATCTGACAGCACACTGAAGGGGCAAAGGTGCAGGCAGTGACATATATTTCGAGTAGCGGTGTAGACTGGGAAAAACTCTCTAAAGAGCAGTTTGGCAACACCTGTCAAAATCATACAGGCAGTAAGGCCCTTCTAGGAACTGATGCCACAGGTACACTCACACGTGTGTGAAAAGACGCAGAGATACAGCAACACACGCTGTTTGTAAAAGCAAAACTTCGAAAGCCCCTAAAGGTCCCCAGAAGGGACTGGTCACACACAGCCTAATGCGTCCATACAACACAAGACCATGCAGCCATTTGAAGAGGTGCGCGAAGTTCCTTCCGGACTGCTACAAATTAAACTCCACGACATGTTCAATCTGACAAGCACAGGGCAGAACAGCATGTGCAGGATGCTACGAGTGGGGGTAGGGAGAGTGTAAAACAGCAAAAGTGGAATACATGCACAAACGCACACATTTGCTTGCTATGTAAAATATCTCTAGGAGATTTTATGATATACTGATGACAATGGTCACGTCCAGGAAGGGAAACAAGGTTGGGAGAGTGACTTCACTTTATTTTTTTAAATTACAAAGAAAGCACATAATAATGCCAGAAAAGGCTTTTCAAATAACGTTACTTGATAAAAGCAGGAAACAAAGCTATATAAATACCAAAGCAATAACAAAAATTCTGTCCAGGTAGTTGACTTTGTGGACTTTTCATTTTCTTTACTTTTTCTATAGTTTCCAAACTTTAGATACAAAGCATGGAGTAATTTTAAAACAAAAAAGAAATTTAAAATTTCTATATAAATTATATTCATGTAATCATAGCTATCAGCTATTAGGGAAAGCAAAAGAATGACAAGAAATTTTATCCGTCACTCTCACCTGAGCTAAAAACAGTAAACAATCATGCCACAGATTCTTAAAGGCACCTTTCCATAAAACGTTACTAGTTTTCAGCTCCAGGGCATTTGGCACTTGCCCTGGTTCCTCCAGGGCTGAGAGCACAGAAGAAACCAGAGGCCACACTCACATCGGTCTGGAGATGTGCAGGTGCTTCTGAGTTGTCGTTGATCCTCCGCACACTGTCATAGTGCTCTCCATACCGATAGGCAATGTGTAACTCCCGCACGTTGCTTTTGTCTGTACCACGGATCTGCAGGCAAGAGAAGGAGAGATGCCAGCGAGGACTTGGACGGTGTCGACTTTGTCCAAGAAATGCCCAGGAAGCCCCGTCAACAGGCTCTACACAGACACAGACTGGGAATATGACTGGGGCGTGCCAGAGGGCTGGGCTGGAAGACAAGGTGTCTGAGAAGCAGCCGCTGCAACAAGAGCAGCGGTGCCGCACCCTGGGCACTGGGTCCTGTGTTCTTAGCTTCTGCATTAATTTGCAGGAAAAAATAAAGGAAAGGCGTTTTTTCTTTAAAAAAAAAACTGCTTAGGCAAGTTCTGAATTATCTTTCTCCCACCCATGTATGCACACTTCTTTGTGCTTACTAATATGTAATGATATGGAAATAAATCCATTTGAAAACACATATTCAAAAACGAGGGGCAGATTTACAGTGCAGTTTTATAACGAAAACTTAACATGAACTTAAATGAGCTTAAGCTTCAGGGGCGCTAGTACCTTTCAGCCCCTCAAACGCACAGGCCCCTTCCAAGAGGCAAAGCCCAGGGCCAGATGCAGGTTTGTTGGGCTTGAAACTCAAACAATCATGGAGCCCTCTTTGAGAAAAAGAATACAAAATTACCATTATAATATTGCTAGACTGCCTCCCAAGACCTCGAAAGGAGGCCATAAAAATGAGGGCCCTGACAGCTGTGCTCCACAGTAAACCTACCTCTGCTGTTAAAAGAAAACAGCATTCTCCATCAACCACCTACTGAGAAGCATGAACCACAAACTCAAAATCTTCCACTTTAATCAATTTCAAAACAAAATTATATGTAGTCTCGCAGTACTACTGCTTTTTACAACCCTGGAGGCATTACTCACAAGGCATTCTACGTGAACGGTGCCCCTGGAGCACAACCCTCCAGGAATGGGGCTCCACAGTCCTGCAACACAGCAGCCCTAAGCTCCAGCCTGCATCTACTCCCAAAAGACCACTACCTCCACGAAACACGAACGTAATTCCAAATCTGTCCCTTAGAAAGCCCGGGAACTATCTATCTATTTGTTAAAACCCCAAAACATCAGTACCTCCTTCTTGTTTTTATTGAAAGTCATAGGTGGTAAGATACAACTATTAATTTAAACAATATCTGTGGTCTAAAAACACAGCAAAAGTCAATGGAACAAACAGGAACCACACAGGTCTAGAAGTGAGAACCGTGTAAGTTTTCCCCAGGTAGAATATCTGGGTCTCAAAGTGCAGAGAGTCCGGTTTTGACATACAAAATAGAGATGGCATCACCACTTATCTCCCAGGAAGGGTACTGGAAAAGGAAACTAGCTTATTAGACTCTGAATGACAGAATCCCTAAAGCTCTTACATGTTTAAGTAATAATCATCTACACACACATTATGAATAGGAAAAAATAACTGGAACAACTGTCACCATATGGTTAACTGCGATGTTCATAGCAAGGGAGATTAGAGAGGACTTGCACTTTCTATGTTACACGTCTGTATTGTTCACAGAAGCATATATTCTATTTCTAACCAGGAAAAAAATGTAGGTTTCACTATCTCCACGTTGTGAGTATAAGCCTACTCATTATTCACAAAAACGCTCTTACCCATGACAGTAGCAACCAATGCAATTTCAATTCTCAAACTTTCTAAGATGCTTCATTGGGGTGAGGGGAGATGGGGAAGATCCAGGGGACAGTTCCATTACAAAGTAAATATGTTTAAGTTAAAAACATACTTTCAGTGTTTAGCTAACCATGAAAGAGAGTACTACAGAAAAGTATTTGAAAAAAAAAATTTTAACTATGCAGAATTATCTTCCACAACTACCTAGATAAATAATAAACTAAAAAAAAAGTTATCGATGGAGGAAAAGGCAGGCTATGATTACTAAGCTGGCATCGAGTATTTTCCTTCAAGAATGAGGTCAGTATGCTGCATATTCAAATGATTTTGATGACTTGTGGTAAAAAGTGAAAATTTAACGACAAAAATTTGGGACAGTGAAGGAGGTAACCACTATTCTTGGCTCAGTGACCACCGATAGAAAGAAAAAGCCTCACTAAAAATATGATAGCTCTCCCCAGCGTCACTGCACCCAATAACATGGCCCCACAGAACACCACGCACAGATATTGTTTCCCTCCTGCTCACTGTGCCCTGTAAGGGAAAATTCAACATGTTATAGTGAATTTGGTCTTTGTTTCCCTCCACCTAAAAAACACATATGAACACCAAGGGAACAGTGCATACTTCAAACTGGAATTGTATGCACTAATCTTTTAAATTCTCACTCAGATATTTTTACAGAATTACCTAAAATATTTCCAGATTAGGCTCTCTGCCTCCAAATTATCCAACTAACTGACTGTTGAATAATATTTCTGGCCCTTTAAAGGTTTCTGTATTATACTTCAGACTCCATTTGTACACAGTGCAGGGCTGAATTCCAAGCCCCCATAAGCTTCCGGTCTTTGGTTAGGCTTGTAGTCCTAGTTACTGTGTTAGAGTTCAATATCACAGGTCAAGCTCCATCATCTTAGGACATCCCCAAAGCTAGTTTACAAACAAGAGCTTGAGAGAAATTCTTGAATAAGTGACCTACCTGCCACAAAGGGGCGTTAAGTTGATGAATCACCACATTCAATTGATGATTTCTTGCAAAGGCGACAATTGCATCATTGCCAGCAAATGTACCAGACTTTGCCAAACTGGCCACTGCAAGGAAATGGAGAGAGAGTGAAATGAAGTCTTTACAATGGAAAAATCCAAATGCAAAAAGCAAATGCAAAAATTAGTATTTATTTTGTTCCAAATAATGAGAACTGAGGGCATACATTTGAAAAGTCCATTAGCTTTGTCAGAGTCTAGGAATTTAGCTGGTTGAACAGTACATAGACTGCTACTCAGAATTATTAATAAAGGATTAATAAATCCATCATTAATAAAGGATTCATTTATTTACTCCTTCAATAAATATTTACTGAATGCTTCCTATATGACTAACTCTATAAAAGACACTGGAAATGTAACAATAACCACAGTAATCATAATAGTGTGCATTAATGAACGCTTATGTGTCAAGCGCTGCTCTACTCACTTCTCACAGATTATCACTTTTAATCTTCAAAATAACATCTTGAAAGAGGTATTATGCACACCATCTTACAGATGAGTAAACCGAGGTACAGAGCAGTTTATAACTGTGCCCAAGGTCACAGAGCCAGTACACAGCAGAGCTGCGATTTCATCCCAGGCAACCTGGCTCCCAGAACGGCTCGTGGCCACTCCATTAGACTGCCAGTCAGTCTGCCCTCAAGGAGTTTACAACTGGTGGGGGACAAATGACAAGAAAACAGACACAAGTGCTGCAGGAAAGGAATGTGGAGTAAAGAATTTGGCCTTGCTCAAAGAGAGGTCTGGCCTTTGTCACTGCTCCTTGGAGATAATCTCAAAACTCTTGGAATTTCCCAAGTGACAGCAGTGTCTTTGTTATTCGTGGTGGGCCTCTCAGCCAGACCTGACAGTTCACGCTAATGAGGTGACTCCTGGTGGGTCTCTCTGGCCCTCTGCTGTCGGAAGGACCTAGGGGGCTGCAGGGCCAGAGACTGAGTTCAACCACTCAGGCGACCAATTCATAACATCTACATTATGAAGCCCCAATAAAAACTTCAGACACCGAAGTTCAGGTAAGCTTCCTTGTGTACTGTCTAACTCTTCCCAGACTCCACCTTTTCGTTTATTTTGATCTGTATCCTTTCCTTGTAATAAACTATAACTGTGAGCATAACAGCCTTCAGTGAGTTCTCTGAGTCCTTCTAGCAAATTAGCAAACCTGAGAGTGGCTTTGGGAAACCCCAAATTTACAGTTGGTGTAAGAAGTGAGGGAGTCTTGTGGAAGACTGGTGCCCTCCAACCTTACACTTTGGCTGACTCCAGGTCAGGAACATAAGGCAGCTTGGTAGAGGGGAGGGGAGGTAAGGTGTATCAGATAAACTTCTGAGCTGAAACAACTAAGCTGATTCCCAAAGGACAAGTAGGAACAGCCAGATAGAAGAGGAATAAATGACCTTCCAAGCAGAGGTGAGAGAGAGAGAGAGAAGGCTGAGCTTGTGGACTAAACAGTGCGGCAGGAACTCAGAATGCTGAGATGGCAGGGTGGGGGAGCAAGAAAACGTAGTGGGAAATGACCAGAGATGAGGATAGAGAAATAAGACAATCACAGATCACAAAGGGCTAGAGTTTGGACTTTATCCTGAGGTCAATGGGGAGCTGCCAACAGGTTTCAGATAGGGGAACAGCGTATTAGACGTGCGTTTACATTCACCACTCTGGCTGCAACATGGAAAACAAACTGAACGGGTCAAGAGGCAATGCGGTCAGTCCAAAGAATATGCAAGAAATCTAGGCAAACCGCCACAGAGGCCTGATTTTACAAGGTGGTAGCAGTGAAAGAAAAAATATTGAAGTAGAAGCAATGACACTAATGAATGCCTGGGTTTGAGGCAGCCTTAAGAACATTCAGCTTTCTGATCTGGATATCTGTATAGTTGGGGGGAAAGAGGTTGCTGATTCTCCAAAGCCACAGTCTAAAGGAAAAGAATAATCCTAAAAGACAGCCAGATGCACGGGTAATCAGGTCCCGAAGAGTTAAGTGAGCCATTCATTTATTCATTCAACAAACATCATTGCCTACAATGTGCCAGGCATTGCTGTGTTGGGGAACAGCCATAGGCCCTGTGCTCAAGAATCTCAGTGTAACAAGGCAGACAGGGACTAAAAACACATAACTCTAAGAATGATAAATGTGGTAAGTCTAGCCTTCCACTGGCACACAAAGAGAATGTGCCGCCTTCTAGGATTCTTTTCACTTCTGCTATGGCAGTCAGCGCCACTTCTCCTTCTCTGATGCTCCACTTCTCACGTAGCACCAACCAACCATCAGGAGTGCACAGAGACGTTTCAAGAAAACACCTTCCCATTGTACCTCTAAAGTGACGAGCATACTGGCGAATGAAGGTCTGAGTTCCTTGTCCTGCCATACCCCCAGATCTACCACAAGACTGTCAGTGAAGATGTTCAAAGCGGAATTTCATGTCACCAACTAAAAACTTACTTCATCCAGAATCATATTTTAATGATTTACATAGCACTAAACTAGAAAACTTGCCTCATATACCCACATTTAATTTGTGAACTGCTGACCGTCTGGTAAACTGTGTCTATCCACTAGACAGAAAGTGATCCAGGAGGAGGGGCCATCAGAACTCAGGGACTCGTATAAAGTACTCACGGAGAGTTCTGCTGCTGTGTCTCTTCTGCTGCTGAGGCCTAATGAAGGAGTTCTTTCACAGTGAGGAATGAGGAAGGCTCTGGGATCACTGATAGATCCCCTGCCAAATGTCTTCCTCCTGCTGCCCCCTATTTTGCTCACAGCACAGCCACACAACGCATCATCACAGTTCAGTCAACGACAGACCGCATATACGACAGTGGTCCCATAAGATTAGTACCATACAGCCTAGGTGTGTGGTAGGCTATGCCATCTAGGTGTGTGTAAGTACCCTCTATGATGTTCACACAACAACAAAATCACCTAACAACACATTTCTCAGAACCTATCCCCATCGTTAAGTGACGCATGACTGTATAGCCACCTAGCCTTTCCCCGAACAGAAACTTCAGAATCACCTTTGTCTCCTCACTCTCCCCTCCTCCCCACCTTCAACGAGTCCTGTCAATTATGCTGCCAAACTGTGTCCCGGGCTGGACCCTATTCATTATCCCTAGTAGCTGCCTTGGTGGAGAACATCTCATTCTTTCATATGGCCAATGTGGAGAGCCTTCTAACTCGTCTCCCTTCTCAGTCTCTCTCCCCATCCGTTCTTGACAGTTTGCAGAGTTAGCTCTCTAAAACACAGGAAATAGTCTCTTTCCTGATAACAGACAGATAAGACTGTGAGCCCTGTGATGAAAATGTTATTGCAAAACATAAATGTATCAGCACCTAGCATAGTAGTTCCTCAGCAAATATTTGTCAATATTAAAGTTTAAAAGCTCATCTATATTTTCTTACTAGATTTGTGCCTATTAAGAAACTAATTAAAATCACTAACTGACTAGCCTCAAAGAAAACAGGTTGTGTTTGGGTTTTTGATGAGAAATTAAAATGACTCTATTGATCTGATTACAAAAGTAATACATGGTCATTTAAAATCAGAAAAATCTGCAGAAGATAATTTAAATACTCAAGGTCCCACTATCCCCAGATGGCTAATACTTATTAAGAGCTTATTTAACTTGTGTTACTTAATTTAATCTTCATTTAAAAACCCTGTGAAATATGTGCTCTTACTATTTCCCCTTTATAGAAGAAGTTTAAAGAGAATGAGTGGTTTCTGAAAAATAAGTGGAGCCAAGAATTAACCACCATAAAATGTTAGTATCATTCCAAAATTTCCCTACTGTGCTTCTGTGTGTGTCTACCTTTTAAATATAGGACCAGCCTATATACTCTATTTCATAGCCTGCTTTTCCTTCCACTAAATAAGAAGTCATGAATAGCTTTTCAGATCAATTAACATTATCAACTTTATTAAGGGCATACACATCTAAACCTATTGATTCCTAATTGCCTAGCATGCTGCCTATTACAGAGCAAGCAAATAAATATTGTTGAATAAATGAATGCCATAATTTGTGTAATCAAACCCCTGGCTGGGAGAGTGGGGGTTCTGATGGATTTAATTACCCAATGCATTCCTCCTGGAGGATCCAGTGTTCCACGGTGAACCTACCATGTTTCTCAAAAGGAATGTCATCTTCTACAAAGGGCTCAAAATCTTCCCGCTGCTGTATCATGTAGTCCACGGTCTCTTGTCGGTGCTTGAGATGATTTCGTGAGTGTCCCTCCAACTGATCACCAAGAGCTCTGAACAGGCAATTGCTATCAAAACAAAAATGTTGGTCAAGACCATTTAAAAGTGAACTTAGTTCATACAAAACAATGATGCTTCACGCTAGGCCCTCCACGGGAAATCTTTTATAGAGCAGACAGAAAGTCTGCACTTTTCCAGTCCAGAATTCTTCCCAGACACTTAGGGGAGAGCACTAGGGCAGATGTCCAAGCACATCACCTTCACGAGAGCAATAAACAAGGATCCTATTTCCCACTTACCAGCTGGCTGACTCAGAAAGTTATTAAACTTCCCTGGGCCTCAGCTGCCTCAACAAGTGAAGCTGTGACACGTTATCCACCGGAAGACAGGGTCCAGACCTTATAGGCCATTGCACACCTAAGGGCTATGATTCCCAGATCCCCTTCCAAAATGATAAATCCTATCTCCTGCCTCTTTTCTGAAACAAGTTTCACTATAGCTGCCCAGCTAACTAATCATTCATGTAACAAACAATACCCAAAAGAGAGCAATTTGTCAAGCTCCCAATACAAACAACTGAACTCGACATACAGTTTGAGTCCTAAGAACACAGTGGAGAATGCCATGAGAAGGAGGGCACTTGGACAACATGGAGTGACACTTGCAATGACACTTCCCCTCCTTGGCTCCTAACTTCTCACCCAGGGAACCACAATGCTATTTTTACTCCTGCCAAATGAAACACCATTTTTTGTTTTGTTTCTAAAATTAAATACTGGTAATAAAATTTAAGAGTTATCTTTACTTTCAAACCCCTCAAAAGCTTCTAAAAATCCAAACTATATCACAGACACAGAACCCAGATACACAGAGAACGAAACATACAAACACAGTCTGGTATCAGTATCCTTAAACCAAGGAAATATGCCATTCTGAAGGCAAACAGTAGCCCAGTTTCACAGCAAACTGTTTGCTCTTCCACATGAAAATCTGATACTCTAATTCCAAAATATAAACTCATCACTTCCAGAAAGACTTCAGACCTAAATGTGTAGGAGAAAGAGGTTTTTTGTTTTTCAACTGAGAAAAGTGAGTTTTCAACAGGAATTTATAGAGAGGCAGGAATCTCTCCAAACATACAAAGATTTACACTTTTTTTTTTTGCAGGGGCAAGGAAGAATTTAAAGATTAATTTTCTATAAACTAGAAACTAAGAAGCTTTGCCTCAATCTGGGGCAAGATTCTAGAAGGGATTGGAATATAGCAGTTCTATACACTAGACTGAGATGTCTGTTGCTAAAATCTAACAATGGCAGTCTTTTTTTCAACCACAGGAAAAAAAGTAAGCTAAAAGATAAAGCATTCTCAATTTTAAGCTTTTCTCTCAAACTTTTCTTAAGCCTTTTGCATCTGCCACCACTAGTCTATTCTTTAATCTAGTTTAAGGGGAGGTGTGGTTTAGCCCAAAATTATGTATTTAGTTATTTTACATTTACTATATCAAAACTCAGGGTGTTTTACAGAAAGTACCATGCTTTCTAAAAAACTTGTAGTAACACGGGCAAATGCTCTCTATACAAGCCAAAAACTGATAGAAAACTGGGTACATTGCATGAGCTCAACCATGTTCATCTGTGCAGTATATGCATACAGAGAGATACACAAATGTATGCAAAGAAAAAAAACTGAAACCAGCACTTAGACAGCTCTTAGAATGTGCCAGGGACTGTTCTAAACACTTCACATGTATTAAACATGTTTAGTTCTCACAACTCCGTGAGATAGGTACTATTACAATCCCTGTAAGGGAACTTGCCCAAGGTCACAAAACTAGTAGGTGGTGGACCCAGGATGCAAACCCAGGCACCAAAACTTTAGCCATAGTTATCTCTAGGGAGTGGAGTTAGGAGTAACTATTAAACCTACTCTAATATACTTTTCTATACTTACCAAACTTTCCTTGAGCTCACCAAAAATAAACAGTCAAAATGAAATATCAAGATAGACAAATCCCTTCCTCTTCTGACAGAGTTACAAGGTAGTGACAAAGGAAATGTGAACAAACAGCCGACCTGGGTTCCCGCAGGGAGCCCAGCAAGAGCACCCACGGAGAACAGAGCAACCATTGCCCAAAGGACCTCTAAGGGATCAGGCTATTTCCTGAGGCCACAGCCTCACCCATCACACTACAGCAGGGCTTCTCAATGCCCACACTGTGGACCTTTGGGGATAACTCTTTGTTGTCGGAGCCGTCCCGTGCACTACAGGATGTTCAGGAGCATCCTTGGCCTCTAGCCAAAAGATGCCAGTAGCACCACCACGACGTCCTTCCCTGCCAGTTGTGATAACCAAAATGTCTCCAGGCACTACCAAATGTCCCCTGGGGAGCAAATCATCCCTACTTAAGAACCACTGTGCTACAGGGATGTATATAAGGTCTTGCATTTGAGTTCACAAAAACAACACATTACATAAGCAGCATCTAAGGGTTTTCAGTGCCCGACCATTCAGTATGAGACAATATTACACACAGACATAACAAAATGAAAGGGCCCCCAGGCTGCAGTAACAGTAGTAAATGTGCAGGAAAAGGAGGGGGACATGTTTCGTTCTATTCTGAGATCACATCAGCTAAAGCACTGGGTACCACCCTGGTTACCGTACTTGAAGAGAGACGTGTTCAGAAGAGATGACGTGGTTTTAAAATGCATAACATGAAGAACATAAACAATAGTGACGTTTAGCCTAAAGGCGGCTCAGGGAGACACGACAGTTGCCTCCAACAATTTGTTATGGTGAAAGGCATGTTATATAACGAAACTAAAACTAAAACATGGGACCTACTGAGACAAAGATTTTGGCAAATAAAAGGAAATTTTATTTTAGCACTACAGACTGTAGAGACTCAGGGTTTTGTAAATTTCTATTGGCCATCCTCAGGAATTGTCAACATCTGTGCTGTAAATTATAGTAGCCACTAGCCACGTGTGACTAGTGAGCACTTGAAATGTGGTTAATCCAAACTGAGGTGTGTTGTAAGTGTAAAATACTGGATTTTGAATAGTATTTTTAAAAATGTAAAATATCTCATTAAAAACTTTTATATTGATTATATACTCAAATGGTATTTTAGATAAAGTGGCTTAAAATATATATTAAAATTAGTTTCACCTGTTTCTTTATGGTTCCCTCACCACCGGAAAAACATTAAATTACGTATGTGGCTCCCATTTTATTTCTATTGGACAGCGCTGGTCTAGATCACTAATTCTCAAGCATAAGCCCTGACTAGCATCACCTGAGAACTTGTTCACATTGAACATTTTGGGGCCACCCCAGGCCTGATGAATCAGACACCCTGGCGTTGGAGCCCAGCAATCTACTCCCTCCAGGTGGTTCCGTTACATGCTCAAGTTTGAGAAACACTAGTTGAGAACCTAGACTCGAAATCAGTGGTTTGCAATTATGGGTGCACATTAGAATCACCTGTGAACCTTTTACAACATGGTCAATAACCAGGCCCGGCTGCCTGGGGTTCTGGTGCTAGCTGATCTAGGAGAGAGCCTAGGCACTGTACTTCTTTCCAAGTTCCCCAACGACTCTGTCGTGCCCTCAGCGTTGAAAACTACTGAGCTAGACACAAAACATGAGGCTGCCGTACCGCTGATGCAGGTAACTAATGGATAATTTGATAAGACAATGTATGAATGCCCTTCCATCGCTAAGATCCTATGACCACAAACACAAAATTAAAAAATAAAACAACTTTTTTAGAGAAAAATGGCTAAAATTAAGCATTCTTTAATGTTTTAATTTTAGAACACTACTAATTAGTAATGTAATTTAGGGCTACATTTAGCAAGATACAACTAAATACAGTTCAGAGATGCTAATATTGTATTGCCTAATCCTATTAGCGATTCTTTTCACCCTATAGCCAATCATGTTTTTAAGGACAATATCAAGGGTAAAACATCTTTCTTGTTTTGAAATTGAATCCAATTTATGTGGGTCCACCCTCCAGACAACACGACAAATATGAAGGCGACCCATGACGCATCACAAAACCCCATAGTAGCTCCCTGATTAATCTATGCTAAACTGACCCATTCATGGAAAGGCTACATTAGAGGATACCAGCTAATTTATCCCCAAGCACCCGGAGGTTCCAGAATGCTACAAGAACCCATCCTGCCAACAAGGAATACGCCTATACAGCAAGATGCTCTCTCAGGCTACTCAATATTGTAATCAGACCAGAATGGAAAGACAGAAGAGCGGAGACTGTCAACAATTCTTTTATACTACCATAACTTTATTAGATTCCACCAAGAGTACTCAATAAATATTAATAAAAGAATCTGCTGATACCTGCCAACTGATCACATACACAGGAAACACCATCCACTGCAGTGATGACTCCCATCATCACCATATCCAAAAGCGCCACGATAGTAAAGAGGGCTGAACCCCGTCCATCTCCTGGTACCCACGGCAAGACCTCGTGAACAGGAGGTTAGCTTCGTGGAGCTCGTACAAGAGGAATTACCATTGTCGTTTTATCTAACATTGTCCAAAGAATGGAGACCTCAGGAGTGAGAGACATGAGCATTCCAGTCAACGGGGCCCCTGACCTCTACCCTTCTACTCTATACTCCTGTCATCCTAAACAACCTGTAGATCTCTCAAAAAACAACGTGCTCCTGTGTCTTTCCACATACTACTCCTCAGCCTAGACGGTCCTCTTGGCATATTCCCACTGCGCCTTCATGACCCGGTCTGAGTAAGACCTCCTCTGAGGGGCATCAGCACAGCGCACGTTCCCATGAGTATCTGCTGAACGGAGAAGAAGGCCGCCCTGACCACTTCAGGAGAGTCAGCCACTTCCTTCTCAACAGCACCACTATAATCAGGCACCGTGAAGAATTCATCAAACTGTACTTTAATTATCTATATAATCCATTCTTAGAGTGTGGCCCAGTTTGGGGGAGGCATGTCTCTGAGACCCTTTCAGGGCATCTGTGAGCTCAAAACTAAGATGTTTGTTCTTTCTCACTCATTCTCTCACAAGTGTCCAGTGGAGTCTTCCAGAAGCTACCTGATACCTGAGGTTATCGCTCTGAGAGCTAATGGAACGTGAGTGCATTTTCTTGTGTTTTAAATCTTTCTGTTTTACTTTCTAATACAGTAAACACTGGTAGCTATAACCTACATAAACAAAAGGTCTTTGGAGTCCTCAGTAATTTCTGAGAGCGTAAAGACTCCTAAGACCAGTGTCTGAGCCCCGCTGTTGTATGTCTCTCTCACTAGGCTACGAAGTCTGTAAGCATCTTAGTCATCAGTGAGCTCCCGGCACCTTGCTCAACCAACCAGCGTTTGCTGAACAACTGAAGAAGCATGCTGTCTTTGAGGGGAGAACACAGGTAGTACCCTGAAAGCTTCCCACAGCATTAGGAACGCTCCCTCAAGATTTTACAACTGCTTGTGCTGCGATTCCTGCCCGTAAGGAACGTCCCGTTGAGTCCTGCAGCTTCCCGGAACCCCCGACGTTGACAATACCATGCCCGGTAGAGCAGACACATGCAATCCCATCATTTGCAGGGACAACCCCACCTTAATCTCACTGTAAAGTGTCCAACTGGTATTCTGATTTATACAGCAGCTTCTTGTGCTTGTGAGTTTGATTAGGATCAGTGAGGCCCTGAATAGTTAATAAACTATATTTGACGAAATCAAGGCACTAAAGCAAGACCCAGCAAAGCAAGCCTTTAACTGGAGTGACTCCACTAAGAAAATGTCCCTGTGAGAAGCCCTCCTAAGGGTCTAATTGGCCTCCCTCTGTGATATTTTTGTCATTCATTCATTCAACAAAAATGGACTGAATGCCTTCAACGTACCAGGCACTGTACTAGGTGGTGGTGAATAAAATGCAATCGTGCTCTAAATCCAATGCGCCTGGGGCATTGGGCAAATATATGTAGGAAAGGTGGGAAAGGTAAATTAGGGCCACTTCACAAAGTCTTCATTGATAAGCTACGATGTAATGTGAAATTACAGAAAACACTTTTTCCTCCCTCTTTTCCAAGCTTAATAGCTAAGGCAACTCCGTATGGTCCTTAGCTTCATCTTATTCCTCCCTCCACCCTATCTGAGCCCTCAATGGAAGGGAGGAACAGCAGCCAGGCAGTTATTACTTCTGCCTCCTCCGGAGTGACATCCCAGCCACCAGATGCCCTCTGACCCACCCCGCAATGGGGATGCTAACCGTTCTCTGCCCCCGCCCTACCTTTTCCTTCTTCCCTGCGTCCACCTGCATCCACATCACCTTTCCTGAGGCCATTTTTCCTTCCCTTCCCCCATCCTCTCCCTCCCACCCCATTTCTTTATCTCGTGTTCCCTAAAAAAGCTGAACCTGGATTCCAGTCTAAGCCCCAAGCAAGCTTGGGTAAGCACCCTTACTTGCAAAAGAGAAAACTGAGGCCCAGGTAAGTAAGGATGAGAGAAGCTGGCTGCAGCTCGGTAAACAACAGGCCCTCACGGCCCCAACATCCCAAGTGTAAAAGGAGGGCTGGACCCAGCAGGAAGGAGGCAGAGCTCGGTCCCCGGCGGGGCCTCCGCCTCTGTCTACTCGTGTGATGGTCGTTCGGACTGCTCTACGTGCGTCCTGTTCTTGGAAGGGCTGGCCCCATCCCGTCCCTTCGGGGCTCGGCTCAAGCGTCACCTTGCGGAGAGGCCTCCCTGGGCACCCGTCTAAAGGACACCAGCTCCAGCATCCTATCTGTGGACCACTGGCCAGTCCCGAGCGGCCTCTGCCAGCATCAGGGCAATGGGGATACTCGGGCGTCCAGAGTGGGGGCTCGCCGCCTCGCCCGCCGCCGGAGCCCTGCACCGGGCAGCGGCCGGAATGAATGGGGACGCGAGCGGGCGACGGTCCCCGGCCCGGCGCGCCCCCGGCGCAGCCCCCGCGCTCCCGGCCCGCCTCACCCGTCCCCCGGCACCTCCCGCAGCTTCAGCCCCAGGGCCTGCAGCTGGTTGGCGAAGCTGACGAACTCCTCCTCGCAGCCGCCGCCGGACTCCGGCCGGTTCCGCCGCTCCTTGGCCAGGGCCCGGCGCGCCGCCCGCTCGTCCCGCTTGCGCTCGGCCTCGGCTTTCCGGCTGCCGCTGCCCGGCCGGCTCTTGGCCGCCTGCTTTCGGGACATGGCCGCGGCCCCACGGCCCGCAGCGGCAACACGGAACCCCGCAGGACCGCCGGGCGGCCGCCTCGCACGCCGAGAAGGCGAAGCCGCGCGGGCGACGGAGCCCGGCGACGGCGAGGTGACCACCGCGCCTGCGCCGGAGCCGGGCACCCCGCTCACGTGACGGGACCCCGGCCCCACCCCCTTCTCCCCCGGCACGGGCTGGGGGGTGGAGGGGGTAGGCACCATAGAGAGCTCACCTGCGGGAGCTAGAGAGGCACCCATCTTCGTTTGTTCCGGTCCGCCACCTAGCGGTGGGTGGTACCCAAAGTGAGGAGCCGGCGAGACGAGAGAAACAGCAGAAAAAGATAAAGGAGGGAAACGGAGAGTGATAGGAAAGTGGGAGAGGGGAGCAGCGGCAAGAGTGAGGAAACAAAGGAAACAGCATTTTAGCTCTAGTTGTGAGCCTACAGTTGGAATGGGCGCTTTCACGTCGCTCGTTCTTGTTTAATTATGCCAAATTACGGGAAGTTGAATCTGAGAGGTTAAGTAATTTTAAGAAGATCACACAGCTCAGAAGCAAAGTTTTTCCCTGGTTCCAAAGCCCTTACACCTTGTTTAATCCTGCTCTGCTTTACCTCTCTCCCAACCCGCGTAACTCGGGGGAGAGGTAGCCTTTGTCCAAAACTTCTGGCTCCTCTGGTCATCTTGAGTCTACCCTAGGGTGACCAACCTAGGTTTGCCTGGACTTCGAGTTTTCTGGGATACAGGACTTTCAGTGTGAAAACTGAGTGAGTCCCAGGCAAGCCAGGATAGTTGGTCACTGTAATCCATACCCCGCTACTCTGGTACCTGCCTGGTCAGTAATCCCCTCTCTCCTACAATAACCCCCTTGTTAAAAGGCAAACTGAGGCACAGTAACATTTTCAGGAGTTTATTTGAGCCTACATCGATTGGAACCAGGCAGTGCCAAGCCAGACGTGGCTAGGAGCAGTGCACCAACGGGAGCTGGGGTAGAGGTTTTCAAAGAGAAGACAGAAGCAAAGCAAGGAAATGATTTGATTGGCTATAGCTTAAGCAGTTGCCTTATTTGGAAAACCTAGTTGTTTGTGATTGGTTGTTATTAGACTTCATCTTCTCAGATTCGAGTGCGTTGACTCTGGCTCAGGTTTGGTTCGCTTACCTAGGCTACAAGGCATCAGAGCCCCCCAGTCTGATGGCCTCGTCGCTTAGTTACCTCAACACCCTCTTCTCCCGCATCCTGGCTCCTCTTTCTTAACCCTCTCTCTTCCCGTGGTGATGCCACTGGCTTCTCCTCCTCTTGGCCCTCTAAGCAATCTCTTTCACCATCCCTGCGAATGTGCCTAATGTTTCTGCCCTTGTTGATTTATTGTCTCGCTCTCCCTACAAGTTCCCCTTTGGTAATAGTCTCTACTTCCTCAGTTTCAACCAGCATCTGTATTTATCTTCCATATGTAACTCTCATTTCAGGCCCTGTGCTAGGTGCGAGGTGTTCCAGTGAACCAAAGAGACGTGGCAGTTGTCCTCAGAAACCCGATTCCAGTGGGACCTATAGGCAAGGACACGGAAATGACAATGCTGGATGACAATGCTGGATGACAAGCACTCCTGGGGGGGGGAGGTACAGGGTGCTGTGAGGGGAATTGCAAAAAGGCCTCCCAGGAGAGCTGAGTTCTAAGCTGAAGCTTGAAGGGCGAGTAGGACTTGGCCAGACGAAGAAAGTTCAGAGAGAGGCTTGTGTATCCAACACCAGAGCGTGGTTTTGAGGAACGGAAGGAAGTGCAGTCTGACAGGATCACAGGGCTTGAGCCATGAGGCAGGAAGTGGGAGGAAGGCCCAGCTCTCGCCCAATCTCTTAGGCCATATGAAGGGTTCTAGCCCAAGTCCTTAGAGCCACGCAGAGCCATTGAAGGGTTTTAATTAGGGGACCGACATGATGAGGCTTATGTTTAGAAATATGTCTTTGGTTATAGTGAGGAGAATAGGTTGAAGAGGTAGGAAGCTGCTGCAGATGTCCCAAGACAGATGATGGTGTTGGTGATGCTGCATCTGAGATGGAAGGGAAGAGAAGCAGATTGGAAAGATAGATTCACGTGCTAGTAAAAGTTCATGAAATGGGGGGACAGCCCAGAGGTGTAGTGGTTAAGTTGACACACTCTGCTTTGGTGGCCTTGGGCTTGTGGGTTCAGATCCCAGGCGTGGACCTGCACACCGCTCATCAAGCCTTGCTGTGCCGGCATCCCACATACAAAATAGAGGAAGATTGGCACGGCTGTTAGCTCAGTGGCAATCTTCCTCACCAAAAAAAAAAGTTCATGAAATGGAATTGGACTGAGTTGTTGTGGAATGTAGTTCCTCAAGTTCTTGCCCTGCAGATCCTTCTTTCATTCGCGGAAAGAAAGAGCATGAATTGTGCCCGGCCCTGACTTTTCTTGCACAGACATCCCAAGGCCTGCTGTGGCCCCTCTGCTTGTATTTGGTAAAGTTGGAGGCAGTGTTAGGAATGGAGAACCCCCTGGACAGGATGGAGAGACCCAGATTCCGGTCCAGGTCTATCACTGACTGACTCCGTGATCTTGAGTGAGTTGCTTAACCTCCCTAGTCTCCCTTTCCTCATCTGTAAAATGGGAAGAACAACAGTGAAGACCAAATGAAATAATAGTGGTAATAATGACAAATTTTTATGGTGTTTACTGTGTGAAAGGCACTATTCTAATTGCTTTATAAATACCATCTGATTTAATCATTACAACGACCCAATGAAATATGTACTATTTTTAATCTCTACTTTAGAGATGAGAAAACTGAGGCATAGAGAAGTTAAGCAATTTGCCCAAAGTCACGCAGCTAGTAAGTGGCGGAGCCAGGATTTGAAGCCAGGCCATCTGGCTCTAGAGTACATGCTCTTAACTACTGTATGATGCTACACGTATGACTTTTCATAAACTGCAAAGAACTCTACATCATACATGAATTTATTTCATCGTTAACTCTCTTACACATCCCACATTTGTTGCTGATAGAGTCTTTCCACCATCTCTGTTGTCACATGTCACTGTTGTCTGATTTTCTCTGCATTAAAGCAGATCACAAAGATTTAGAGCCAGAGAAGCCAGGGTTTCCATCCTGGTTTCCCCTTAGATGAGCTCTTTCACTTCTGAACCTCGCTTTCTATTCTGTAAAATGACAACGATAACGTAAGAATGAGAGGGAGTTGTAAAGTTTCAATAAAAATGTGAAGCCCCAGGCCCGCGGTAAGTACCAGCTTAATGAAGTTGTTTGAATCATTCTTCTGATTGTGGAAAGCTGGTGAGCTCAGGAGCAAAGACTTGACATTGCAAACTTCAGAAGCCAGGGAAGAAAGGTTTGTCACCCCAAAACGTGTGGAAATATTGACATAAATGCAAACACTTGCCTTTCTTGTAAAAATCTTTGCTTGCATAAGCCCTTGGCTGGTCAGCCCATGCCTAGAATTTTGGATGAGCTAGTTTCTCTTCTCACAGCAGAGGCCTGTGTTAAACAATGTCTCCTTTTGAGTGCAAATCAGTACCACTTATAAATTATATCTAACGGCCAAAGGGAAGGAGTACTTGTGAATTCAATGGATGTTCTTAAATTAAATGGATGTCAACTTCACCAGAGTTAATTAAAAGAATCATCAAACCTCATTGGGTGGCATGTAGCACAAATTAGTAAAACAGTGTGACTAGTAGAATTTTAGTGAAGAAATGCAGCTTTAGGTCCTGTAAGAACACACCATCAAGGGAGTGGGGAAATGAGAGCTCCGCACGCTGCTGTTGGGAGGTCAACTAGTCTGGCAGTTGGGCGGTCTGTGGTATCATCCTAAAAGGCCGACGACCCAGAAATGCCACATCTCATCATCTCTCCTAAGACATATCTTGCACACATGCACTAGGAGGTATGTCCAAGGGTGTCTAAGGCATAATGGTGTGTAAAGGCAAATAATTAGGAACAATGCAAATATCCGTCAATAGGAAAATGGCTTCTTAAATTATGAAACAGCCACTTATTAAATACTACATAGTTTAAAAAGATGAGGTGGAGGGGAAATGAGGTAATCTAGATGAACTCACGTGGACAGCTCTCCTGGACGTGAGGTTGAATGAAAAAATACGTGGCAGAGTGATGCATTCCATGTAGCCTTTATGTGAAACAGACCAACAACAACAGAAAACGAAACAGAAGAGCTATAGGGGCTGGCCCGGTGGCATAGTGGTTAAGTTCGCACACTCCACTTTGGTGGCCGGGGGTTCATGGGTTTGGATCCCAGGCGTGGACCTACACACTGCTCATCAAGCCATGCTGTGGCGGCAGCCCACAGAAAATAGAGGAAGATTGGCACAGATGTTAGCTCAATGTCAATCTTCCTCACCAAAAAAAAAGAACTGCATGTTTTCTGGAGGTATATATGTATACTTAAATATGTAGAATATGGTCTGGAAAGATAAATACCAAATTGATAAGAGTGAGGAGAGAAAAAAAGAGTAAAAGTGACCTTATCTTTATATGTACTTTTTTTAATGAGGGCAATGTAATTGTGTATTATGTATAGAATTAAATTAATAAAATGATCTTTACTGGACTAACAAAATCTATTCTTTCCTTCAGATTGAAGCCCTATAGAGTTCTTTTGGGGACCTGCTTTGTCAGCTAATGGTACGGACCCTCTTAATCTCAAGTTCGCATGCCCAGTGCGCAGCGAGCCAGGCGCTGAGACATCGGTGCATGGAGATGGAGGAGGATTTATTCCAATCGGCCAAAACGAGTAGGTGGGAGCCTGGGTTTGCTCAAATCCGCCTCCCCAAGAACAGAAAGCAGAGGGGTTTTATGGAGCTGAGGGCCTTGGCAGGAGGGCCTTCGGGGAAACAAAGGGGTCATTCCTGATAAGCCCCTGGGCAATCTGACTTCTGGACTTCAACGGCTGCTGAGGGCTGGCCGGCCATCCATCCGCCATCACCATCGGTGATCGCAATCTCCCCACAGGCATTCTCTTTCTTCTGCAAATACAAGCTCACAGATCCTCCAGACCCCTGAGTCGCCCCTCAGGTTAAACAGGAAAAAGAGCAAATTGGTTTAATACCTACAGTGCCCCTCAGGTACCCGGCTCCACTAGCATGAATTTGTAACAAGCATATTGCTTTGCCCAAGAAGGGGGTATGTCTGGTCTGTAAGAGTTCTTGGCATCTTACTCTCTTGCCTCTTTCCCCGTATCACCCTCAGGTCAGTCTTGTTCTACTGCCAATTTGCTCTTTCTGTGAGGACAGAACTTTATAAGCAAAATTAAATATCAATTCAGCCATGTCCAGACCATCACACTATCACAGATTATGTAGCACTAGAATTTGAATTAATGATATGTCACTTTATTTGATGGGCATACAGGACATACACAAACATCAAATACTCAGGACAAAGAGCATCGCTTCACCCCACCACTCAGACCCACTCCACAAGTGACCATGGCCAGGATGAGTGCTCTGTGCAGAGCAGAGACTCTGAGAAGGACAAATTCAGGGCAGGGAGTCTCTGGCACCAAGGCCAGGTCTTTAATTTCATCATTTGTACCTAACGTTGCAAAAATGCAACACCATTTGATTGTCTTCTGTGGCAGTCCCATACTAGGCCACAGGGAAGAATGTTATTCAACAAAAGTCTTTCTTTTCTCTCTCTCAGTCATTCTTTGTTTCTGCATGTTTTGTGGGTGTTGCGTGTGTGTCTGTTTGCACATGTGCAGGCACACCAGTGGAGTTTTGTCACTCCTTTGGCTCTTTCCATTGTGGCTCTTGCTCTTAGTGGTGGTTGGTCCCACTGCATGCCTCTGTCTGTCCCATTTTCCCTCTCGGACTTCATCCTCTTTCTCTTTCCAGTGCCCCTTTTGTCTTGCCCACTCAGCATATGATGGACCAGAAAGAAAGGAGTTTGGGAGTGGTCAGATTGAATTAAGTCCAAATCCCATTTCTGCTGTTTACAACCTGTGCGACCAGTGGTATTTCCCAGAATCTTTCCAAGCTCTAGTTTCCTCATCTGGAAAATGAGAGCAGTCATGGCCTCTTCCCAGAGTTGTTCTGAGGTATTAAAATCATAATTCTAACAAAGTACCTGATCCAATAAATATTAGTTTCCTTCCTCCTCTCTCCTTTATTTCTCTTTTTTTTCTGCCTCACCATTGCCCATTCTCTCCTCTTTCCCTTAAGTGGCTATAAAATCAAAATCTATTACATATACTAAATTATTTACATATGCAAAATGAATTGTTTAATATCCTCAATTGTTTCTTTTCCAGCAACAAAATAGAACATTTTACACTGCTCCCGAGGGGAACAAAAGACATCGGTTTTGTTTTCATGTGACTCTCACTTCGTTTCTGCATTTCCTCAATGGCCTTGGATGGGGGAAAAGGTCGTGAGCTGTGGGAATGGGGGCTCCTATCCCTGGGCTCGATTCTGGATGCGCATCCTCATTCAATGACTTTGCTAGTCCTCGAGCTGCTGGATCTATCTTCACAGCTCCCTAACAATTTCTCTGTCTGATGTGTCTGTGCCAGAGATCCTCATCGCCCACAGGGTCTGTCATTATAGTCATCCTGCACGAGTCGCCTGCAGTTGCACCAGTGACACCTGGACCAGGAGCCCACCCTATGGCCCAGATTAACTAAAGCGCAGGGACGGGCAGAGGAGCCGTGTGCTGTAGGGCTCAGCAGGGGGCAGCAGAAACACGGCTTTCTCTCGCCTCTCAAAAGACACGCATCGAAATTTTTCTATGAAAAACATAAAAATGTTCATGGGAGAAAATTTTAAAAGACTTTAAAGAATAAAAAAGAAAAGAATCATCCACAATCTCCCTCTCAGAAATAGTGATTGTTGCCATTTTGGGGTATTAGGCTGAATCATATGAGATTGCTGATAATCGACCATTTTTAACCAACAAAAATGACAATTTCTTGTGGCTTAACCTAACATTTCCTCTCATCTTTTCTCTGTGATGAATATAAATGCATGTTTAAGTACAAAATCAAGATGGGGTTATATGTGCATATGTGTATCTTTAAAGCCCGCCTTTTTAAATGAAATATTAATGATATGTGTAGAGTTTAATGCAATGTACGCCAGCAGATCTAACGCTGCTCCCTTGAGAAATAAAATATCATATATACACCTGAAGCCCCACACACGCCCTTCCCCAACAATCACCGCCTCCTCATCTCCTGGGGGTAACCATTCTCATAAATTTGGCGTTTATCATACACAGATTTGTATCACCGACAATATGCAGGATTGTTTAGCATTTTTAGCTTGATATAAATGACACCAAAGTGGATATGTCATTCTGTGACTTTTATTGCTTACTAAACATTATATTTTTAAAAATTTATCCATATTGATACATGTAGCTTGTGTTCATATGCTTTCATTTTTTTTTTTTTGCTCTCTACCTCTCTCCACTGTTCTGGGCTCCTCCGGGCTGAGACTCTGTCTTAGCTATGTGTGGCTTGACAGCCCCATAAATGGGTGTTGAGTGGAACAGACAAATGCAGGAGGTGAAAGAGTGAAAAACATTGTGCTAGCAAGTCAAGCCCAGACTCCTTGGTGGTACCCAAGGCGGAGATCGCTGATGACAAGAAGGCTCTTGTGTCTGGGAGAGGCAGACATAGAAGCTGAACATTGCGCTATGATGTCACCTCTCTGGTGCCAGACTCAGGGTGCTAGAATGTCCCATCCAGAACGGCAGGGGACGGGTGGAAGCATCAGGAAAAGCTGCCAGTGGGTCCTGAGCCCATTCCTGAAAGAGGGGAGGTCCCTTTCACCATGGCAACCAAAAGCTCCCATTTTCAGGTAAATGCACGGACACGTTCTCAGGATTCTCTGGTTACCTTATCTCCAAGTTTTTCGGACAATTAAAATTTACGATTGGTAGGAAACGGCATCACTGGAGCCTTAAAACACAGACAACCAAAAAAAATTCCTTTAGTAGTCAAAATCTTCCTAACCATGATGAGTTTAAAGTTTACCTATAAACTGAACTGTAAAACACAGGGATAACAATAAACCGCAGAAGCAATGAGGCACCGTGGCAAGAGTTCAGAGGCTCTGGAATCAGACAGAGCCGATTAAGAATCCTGACTTCCACTGCCTGAATGTGTGACCCCAGGAGAGTTAGCTAACCTCATTCAATTTCTGTCTCTTTGCCGGCAGAATAGAGATACTAATACCCACTTTGCAAGTTGACGGGTATAAACTGCTTAGTCTATGGTGCGCATCCTACAAAGGGGAGCAACTTTTATTAGCAGGCTGGGTTGGCACAGAACTGCCTTTGACTACTGATGCTGGACACGGCCGTTAAGAGAGAATGAAAACTGCTCACAGATCTGAAAACCCAGAATCTCAGTGTCACTGCTGCTGCAAGCCGCTGGTCCTGGATGGCAGCCGGGAACCATTGTTCTCAGCCGTCTTCAAGAACATGTCTGTCCCTTGAAAAAGCTACATCTTTGACATCCCAGGAAGCTGCCTTTGGTTCCGTGTCCATTTCTCTTCTCGGAGAAGATGGAGGGAATAAAAGGATATGTATCAGCAAAGTTCAGGAGAGACCCTGATCTAGAGAGAGGATCTCTCAAAAAAAGTCGAATGTTCCCAAGTCCACCTGAGTCCCCTGTGAAATCTCTAGACGCAAAAGCACAAACTCAAAAGCATCCTGAAAAAGGAGAATCTGGTGGTTCCACCATACCTATTCCTCCCCAGGCAAACATCTCTTTTTTTTTCTCAGTTAGAAGAAAAAGGACTTGAAGTCAGAATGACTCCCTTAAAGTAAATCTACTCAAAGAAATAAACATTTAACTTTATTTTAATTAAACTTTATTTTAATTTGCACAGCTAGACCTGCTGGGATTTCTCCATTTTGCTGGTGGAAAATAAGTCACACTTTAAAAATGTGCATGCCGGTTGACCCAACTGTAAGCTCAAAAATAATCATTATGGCATTTGTTATCATGGGAAAAGTGGTAAACAACCCAAATGTCCACCGATCAGGGGTTTTGCAAATAAACTAGGATGTTGTCATACCACAGAATGATATGTAGCCATTCCAAATAGCCTCATGGAGGGCCATGCATCAAATGAAATGGATTGGGGGGCCGGCCCGGTGGCGCAGTGGTTAAGTGTGGACGTTCCACTTCTCAGTGGCCTAGGGTTCGCCAGTTCGGATCCTGGGTGCGGACATGCCACCACTTGGCAAGCCATGTTGTGGTAGGCGTCCCACATATAAAGCAGGGGAGGATGGGCACGGACGTTGGCTCAGGGCCAGTCTTCCTCAGCAAAAAGAGGAGGATTGGCAGCAGATGTTAGCTCAGGGCTGATCTTCCTCAAAAAACAAACAAACAAACAAAAAAAGAAATGGATTGGAATAATGTATATAGTGTGTTATTAGGTGAAAAAAGCAGTTTGTAAAGAGGTAGGGGTGCCATTTCTGTATAAAAAGACACACACATACATGCACAGAAAGAATGAAAGAACATGTCAAAATGCTAAGCTGGTCACCTCCGGGCCCTTGAAAAATGGAGGTGATTTTTCTTTTCTTTTGTTTGCATTGTTGGACGTTTGTATTTTTGTAGTTTTCAGACACTGAAATTTTACTACAATGGTAATAAGAAAAATGTCCCCAAAAAGATGTGAACAGCCCTGGAACACCTGGACCTCTTTCCTAAAGCTCCCTGAGCGCCAGAACTCACAATGCCGGGACTGGAGCAGCCTCTTATGGGGAAAGGTCAAATACTTCATTCCTCCAGCAGCTGACTCTCATTTTGATCATGCCAGGCATGCCACTTGTGACGTTATCTGAGCATATTCATCAGTATCAGAAATGGGGTAGCTGCCATACCTATTGGTTTGACTTGCCCAAAAAGAAAATTGAAGAGTAAGAATTCAGATTTTTGAGAAAAACATTGAGCACCTCTCCTTAGGGACGCTCATGCTTACAGCTGTAACATTGGCATTGCTGTGGCATCAGGAATTTGGGATGAGCTGACCATCACATGGATGGCTGGGTCATCTTATTTATAGGCTAAAGACAGCCGCCAGCCCTTTCCTATGACCCTAGAACCTGACCTTGGCCCCCTCCAAGTGCAACAGAAAGGACAAACCCACCTTGTCCCGCTGTGAGTCCATTCTCTGCTCTTTATTCTCCTGTTTATGCAGTTTAGGTTTGCAGTCAGAAAGTGGCAGCCAGGCTGGTCTCCTTACTGACCGACGGTCATTTACAAAGCCAGTGGCAGCAATGCACTTGGTACAGGTCAAGTGAAGATGTAAAAGTGTCAAAAGACGTAACGTGACAACCTCTTCCCCAACTCACAATTCAATACTCCCTCCAACTCTAACATCACCACCTACAGGAAGCCTTCCAGGGTTTCACAAGCTACCCTTAGACCATAGACTATCATCCCTCTATCCTCAGATCAGGCATTTGAGAAAGTCTATGAATGAATGAATGAACAAATGGGTAACTAATATGTGAGTGAATGAATATGAGAATGAATAAATGAATGTATCTGCTCCCACAGCACTTTGTAAATATGCCTACTCATTCATTTCACAAAAATTTATTGAGGATTTACTATGTACCCGGCTCTGCAGTGTGCACTGGGATACAAAGTGAGCAAGACTGACCAGCTCCCTGCTTTCAGGGAGTTTATGTTCTAGTCAGGGAGATAGCAGATCCACAAGGAAACAAACATGCGCCTGATTTTAGACAGCGATGGCTCTATGAAGAAAAGGGATACACAAGGTTACATGAAATGGAGCACCTGGAGTGCAGGGTGGCTGGAAGACAAGGGGAGCAGAGAAGGCCCCGCTGAAAAGGTGGCAATTGAGCTCTAACTTTGAAGGACTGTGAAAGCACTGCTTTCAAGTGCTTATTTAGCTTGTTTCAAGTGCTATATTCTTGAAAATAAAATGTCAAGGACGTGTCTGACATCATCTTTTTCTTGACAGTGGAAGGTATAGCGCCTTGCTCGTCGCTGTGAGCTAGCTGGATGCAGTGGCAAGCACGTGGGATTTGCAGCTGGACTACCTGGGTTCAAATCCTGCCTCCACCACTTACCAGCTACAGACCTTGGGTGAGTTACTTCAGCACTGGAGCCTCAGTTTCCCCATCCAAAAATGGGGATGATGATGATGATACTTTTACAAAAGAGATGGCTATCGGCCCACCAAAAATCATGTTTCCTCTTCCACAGTGTGAAGTTGTTGATAAAAGACAGCTGCTCAAACATGCATTCCTTTTTCCAGCGCCTCCTATGCCCAGATGTAGCCAAAGATGAATTTTTGCCACTGAGATGTTAACAGAAGTCTTGTGCGTCCCTTTCAGGCCTGGAACAACCTCATTCGACTGTTGAGTTTGAGAAAAAAAAACTTTGATCGTATTAAACCTCTGAAATTTTAGGGTCTATGTGTTATAGCATCTAGCATCATTACGCTAACCCTACAACCTTCAAGTCTTGTGGAAAATGAATTAGTGTGTCGTGCAGTGCCTGCTCAAGGTGACTGAGCCTAACTGGGCACAGGGCTTTGAGGCTTTCAAATCAACTTCACAACATTTTGACCCCCGTCCCTTCTCATCTTTTCAGAAGGGGTTGGTTTTTTTACCATACTTGATATTTATTTCTGCAAAGGTTAGTTTCTATAGGAAGGGAAATATTAGGCACCTAGGACATTGCAGACTTGTGTTACCAAAAAAAAATGTCTAATTGCCTGGGGATAGAGGGGGAGAGAATCTTGCTCAACACAGTAGTCTCTCCTCCTGGAGCTCAGAGTTTGCAGCGGGGTTTGAAAATCAGGAGCTTCCCCCAGGATATAAAACCTTTTTCCTCTTTCTCCCTACTCTTCCTCCAGGCGGGTTCTTCTGTCATGAGGTCCCTACAAGGCTTTTAGTTCCCAAGCGTCTGAGAAAGAAGAAGAGAACCATACGCCTCATGTTTTCATCCACTTTAAAATGAGATAATGGATACAAAGCTCCTGGCACAGTGAATGGCACATAGTAGGAATCTGACAATGGGACCTGGCCTCCCTTTAGCTCATTTAACTCCTGCTAGCTCGCTGTCAACTATGACGTGATTGATAGCTTGTCTTAGCCTTTACTAAAAATCACCCAACTGGTATTATTTTTCCTAATTGGACAAATAAGAAAACAGAGGCTCGGGGAGGTCAAATATGTGTCACTATTGTGTCGATAGAATCTGGTACGTATTTTATCTGATTTAATTCTCACAACCATCTATGGAATGCATGGGACTGGTCTTATTGTACACATTTTCCAGATGAGAAAACTGTGGCTCAACGAATTTAGACAACTTTCCTTCTTCAACAAACATTTTTTTAGTACTTTTCTGTGTGCCAGGCTCTGTGTTGGGCTGCTGGGAATCAACAAGAAGCGATACAGACACATTCCTTGCTCTCATGGAACTCACAGTCTGGTGTGAGAGACAGCCAGATAAAGAGGCAATTTCAAGTATAATAAGTTAAAAAATCTGAGCACGCCCAGGATGCTATGAGTAAGCAAAGAGGAGGGGGCCACCTAACCCAGAATTGGGGACAGAAGGAGGGGACATGAAGTATTTTAATTTACATTAGTTACAAAACAAGATGTGACTTGTGGATAGGATTTCCACACTGGGCGTTGTGGAAGAATGTTCCAGAAACAGGGAACTTACTGGGGCAGCTTCCCCGTGAGATGTCCAGGGTGGATTTCTTTCTCTTTATTCTGGGGATTTTCTATTTAGTCTGGGAATTGTTGGGCTTCTTATGTCTGTGAAGAGAAGTATCCTCATTTCTGGAAATTTTTCTTCAAATATAACCTGTGCTCCATTCTGTGTTTCCTTCTGGGACTCTAATTAGTCCTAAAATAGACATTCTGCGTCACTTACCTCTCTTACATAGTTCACATCTTTTTGACTCCCCATGTTTTTTTCTGGAGATTTTCTGTCTTATAATTCACTGCTGTTCTTTCTTTAGCTGTGTCTAATCTGATGTTAAAATCATTCGCTGCATTCTTAGTTTTCTTTTTTGTATTTTTCAGCTCTAGAATTTCTATTTGATTCTTTCTCACTTTGTTACATCACTTTTTATCACTTCCTGTTTCCTGACAAAATTTTCCAGCTTAGCTTGTATCTCCTCAAACATCATTGGTGTAGTTGTTTTATTGTTGTTTTCTGATCATTCGAACAACAGTAGTCCCTATGGGTCTGTTTCTGTTGTCTGTTGTTTCTGTTGACTCTTGCTCATGGTGTCTTATCTTTTAGTGTGCCTAGTTATCTTTAATTACTTCTTGGATATTGTATTTTTTTAAACATAATCATTAAAATAATTTGTCACCTAAGATGATGTTATGTTCTTCCAAAGGGGATTTTCACTAGCATCTATCAAACAACTCAGAGTACTAACTGTCTAGGACAATTTTATCAAATTCAAAAGATTGAGGTTTTCTGGGCCACCTTGATGACTTGAAGCCTGCCTACAGTCTGAGCTACAGCTGGTTTACTTCCACTTCATCCTTTCTCCAAGGGCACGGTTCTTTTGAGTCTCGGCTAAAAATGGAAATGGTTTACCAGGATCCCTATGCTTGATGGAATTCAAAACCCTACTGTAGTTCCCCCAGCTCTGAGAGACTGCCGAAAGTACAGCTCAATCTTTCAGCTGCCTATTCAATATTAACAAATGTTCCTGAGCAAAAGCGGTCCTGAGTGTAGGGCTCATCTCTCTGGGATCCTATCTGTTCCCAGATCTTAGCCGGTACTCCTCACTTTCTTGTTAGCTCTTTGATACTTTTAAGATGTTTTTGCATTTTATAAAGTTCATTTAAGTATCTTCAGCTTTCAGTCACTACTGAATACAGAAACTTAACAACAGTATGCTCCCAGAGATCACAGAGCCTCTGAATACGACAGGCAGGATTGGAATGATGTAGATCTATTTACAATCTCAGATTCTTTCTTCTCCATTGCACTGCTTGGTCCAGATGATGATGATATAGATAGACAGATGATAGGTAGGTAGGTAGGTAGGTAGATAGACACATAGACAGACAGATAGATAAAAGCTAACTCTTATCAAGCCCCTACTCTGTCAGGCACTCTGTTTTAAAAGCTTTAGGGGCTGGCCTGGTGGGACAGTGGTTAAGTGTGCATGTTCCGCTTCAGTGGCCCAGGGTTCACCGGTTCGGATCCCGGGAGCAGACATGGCAACACTTGGCACATCATGCTGTGGTAGCCATCCCACATATAAACTAGAGGAAGATGGGCACGATGTTAGCTCAGGGCCAGTCTTCCTCAGCAAAAAGAGGAGGATTGGCAGCAGATGTTAGCTCAGGGCTAATCTTCCTCAAAAAAAAAAAAAAGCTTTAGATTTTTTAACTCATTCAGTCTTCACAACAATCTTATGAGTTAGGTGCTATCACTATTCCCATTTTAAAGATAGGACACTGAGTGAGGCACAGAGAGATTAAGTAAACTAGCCCAAAGTCACCAGCCAGCAAAAGTTGAACTGGGTGGGGTTCAAACCTGACAGTCCAACTCCAGATCCTGTGCTCAAATCACAAAGTTTTTTTTTGTTTTTTGGTTTTTTTTTAAAGATTTTTTTCTTTTTTTCTTTTTTCTCCCCAAAGCCCCCCGGTACATAGTTGTATATTCTTTGTTGTGAGTCCTTCTAGTTGTGGCATGTGGGACGCTGCCTCAGCGTGGTTTGATGAGCAGTGCCATGTCCGCGCCCAGGATTCGAACCAACGAAACACTGGGTCGCCTGCAGTGGAGTGCGCGAACTTAACCACTCGGCCACGGGGCCAGCCCCTCAAATCGCAAAGTTTTAAACAAAACTTTCCTCTTGCCACAGGTCTGAGAATCATGTATCCTACCTCGTGGATTCAGGCACAAATATCGATCCCAGGACCACTCGTTCTCCAAGACTGAGCCTCACGCTATTTCCACCTTCACTGGCCTGAGTCTAGACAGAACGAAGTCATCAGTTCTAGGTATCGAAAAGGGTTGCTTTGAAAACAGACCTTCAGTTCTGTAAACTGCAACCATCCTCCTCACCTCCATCAGATGTCACTCTCCAAGGAAGACCAGAAGCAGTTTACAGGCTAACGAGCGCTCCCGCCAGCCTCGTAAGTGGAGAGACAAGGGTGGGGCAGTGAAGGGGGAAATGTTTTTATTGTCCCCATTTCACAAAGGCAGGTTCCTGCTTCGGTTCCAAACCAAAGCAGCTGAGTCACCCGCAGAGATCACCTGGTTTGTTCCGCTTCCCTGAATTCCCTCCTGCACTGCGGGACTTTACCCCACGGAGAAAGCCAAGTCTCTTCTGAGAAATATGCAAAGTAGACGCTGGGCCTCCAGAGAGAGGCCGATAGGAGATAGGTGCGTGCCAGGTCCGTGAGTCTCTCGAAGGATCGGCTGATCCCATATCTCGAATTTTCAGGACATTAATAACCATCCAAGTTACTATTAACTGAGCATTCACCACTGTGCTGAAGCACTTTCATGTATTATTTTGTTTAATCTTCGCACAACCCTCGAATGAAGATTCTATCATTGTCCTCACTTTCAGATTAGGAAACCGAGGCCAGGGAGGTTATGACGCCTGCTGTGCCCACCGAGTTAGGAAGCAGCAGGTCTGTGGTTTGACACTCTGAAGTCAGTGGTCCTCTGCTGCCTTTTCTTCTCCGCCTACAGACGTGTTTCTAGATACTGAGAGCCAGAGCGGCGACAGAGGGCTTCCCTGGGGTCCAGGGTCACTCAGAGTCGTGGCCAAGGAAGCTGAACCCCAGAGCAAAGGACACCAGGAAGAGGAGAGGGTTCCTCTGAAAACAGCAGGGTGGGTGCAGACTGACGTGCTTGTCGACACAGCAGTCTGGACACACCTGGAAATACCTGCTCCACCGCCTGGAAGGCCTGATGAGGCAGGTGCCACTGGGTCATGCTCTTTCCCTTGTTCTTCTCTTCTCATCTCTGCAGAGTTGTACAAAGATCAAGCCCCATCAAGGGGATTCCCAAGGATCCTTATCCCCATCTTATCTTAGGATAAAGCTTGGAGAACGTTTTGGCACTGAGGCTCACCCACTGGAATGGCCTCTGCCTGGGCAAGGAAAGTGCTGCCTCAAGTGCATGGGTTGAATGGCTTCAGAAGGGTGTCTCTGCCCCCAGATAGATCTCCTATCATGACATGTCACACCAGCTGAAATTCCACCATGAGAGCTGTCCTTTTGGGTAAAAAAGAAATGAAACCTCTTTCAAAATGTAATCATTCCCAGAAGGGGTTCTGAATTTTTGTCCATCTTAATTTTGTTTCATACAAAGATTTTTTCCCCAGACTTTTGGAACTTTCTACGATTTGTCTGCTGAGAGTCTGACTCATAAAAGGCCCCCAATTAATATAGTATCTATTTACTATCTAATGAATGCTCAAAAATGACTAAGCAAATAAACAAGTAGTAGCCTAAAATTAGAGAGAAAGCTTAAAGAAAGCCATGCTTCAGCAAACTTCTCTCCGTTTCTCAACAGAGTTGTACATATAACATATTGCATTAACTTGTTCTTTGAGGGGAGTATAAATAAGTTTTGTGATGCTCCACAAAGAGCACTGTGACTAAAGTTGCTTTTGCACCTGAACAATTTTTTAAACCACTGGATTCAGGTGATTGGCCCTGCTAGCATTCATTCACACTTTAGAATAAACTACTTTGTGAAGCTCTCTTTCTTCAAACACCTTTCTGGGTGTCTCAGCATTAGCAAGAAAACATATTGAAAGAGCTCAGCACAGAGTCTGGCACAGTAAGCACAGAATATGTTGCAACTGCTATTATTGGTATTTGGAGACTCGAACTTAGAGACTCTTAATATTTGGTCTAGAATATTTTAATACCACCCAATTCTGTCTCTTTAAGAGCAAGAACACTGATGGAGAGATAGTAAATACCTCCATGCAGCCTGAGGGCACAGAGCACACAGCAAGCCAGCAAGAGGAACAGCACCAACCGGACACTTCTCCCTTGCCACAAGCTCACCAAGAGCACATACAATTAGGTGAACGTGGAAATGGAGTGGCAGGGAAAGAAAGGAAAAGAGAGAAGAAGAAATGGGAAAGAGGATGGGAGAGGAGAGAAGCCGCAGGTTGGTGCTCCATCTCTAAAATTGATGAGCAGTGCTAGATGATTTTTAATGCCCCTTTCTAGTGCTCTATGATGGAAGAGTAGTAAAGAGAAAAGAAAGAGGGTATGTGATGGTGAGGAGTGGTCCGAAAGCCTAAAAGAAGATGCTGAGCCCATGAGGGCTATGTTGCTCATCTCATGCATTGTATCTAATCTACAAATCATGCAACACAAAGAGCGAGAGGGAGAGTAGAGAGAGTAGAGAGGAGAGAGTAGCGGCACCAGTAGAGATATCACCCTGTCATGTCAGCCTGGATTTCCCACTGTGGCCTCATCTGTTCTGAATCTATGCCAAGCATCCAATACGGGGCCACAAATACTTGTTGGTTCAAACACAATTATGCTTTCATTTTAGGAAATATAGGAAAAAAACCACCAAAGAGCATAAAGAAAAAAATAACCATCATTCATGACCCCATGACCAAGAAATAGTAACAGGAAATGGTAACTAACATTTACTGAGCGATTATCATGTGCTAATCACTTTACATCCTTTGCCTCTCTTAGTCATTTACTTAACCACTGTCAGTATTTCAGATTTCCTTACAGGTTTTTTTTCTGTATATGATACATAAATATTTCCAATAGTTGTGCTAAGCCCTTTACATATATTTTCTTATTATCCTTCCTCTCACTGTTATTTCTTATAATCCTCACAGCAAATTTGGGAGGTATCTGGTTTTTTCTCCCATCTTACAGATGAAATCACGGAGGCTCAGGAGGTAAGTTGCCTAAAGTCATAGAGCTAATAAATAGCGGAGCTGGGATTTGAACCAACATTGGACTGGCAGTAATGCCCATGGTTTCATCTATCACCTGCTCTCTCTGTTTCCCAGGTGTTCTTCACTATGAGATGTGCGTGAGGAACGACGGGCTGTCTCTTCCCAGGGGGTCCTAAAGACAGACCTTCAACACAGTACAAGGGTTAAACACGTGTAAGTTGTGGTTATTGCTGTAAATGGCCAAAGAGACCCTTGATTCGTACCACCCTTTTGCCAAGGAGATAGCTTTCTGTTATCCAGTGACCCAACTGGAAAGGCGTGGACAGTGTCAGGGTCCATCCAGGGCTGCCACTGTGGGAGGCACAGACTGAGTTACTGAGAACTCTAATCTAACGAATATCACTTTTATGACCACCTGGCTATTTGAGCCAGGTAGAGGAGAGAATTTACCCACGTCCGGAGTCTAGGATTGTCAGACAAAATCCAAGATGTCCAGTTAAATTAGAATTTAGCCATTTATGTAACCACTGTCAACATTATAGGTATATGTCTAAGTATGGAGACATGCTTGCACTAAAATGTTGTCTGTTCTTTATCTGAAACTGAAACTTAACTGGGCATATTTGGCACATATCTACACTAAAAAAATTACTCATTGTTTACCTGAAATTCAGATTTAACTGGGTGTCCTGTATTTTCCTTTGCTAAATATGGCAACCCTAATAAAAGGCCTCGCTTTGGTTCTTTTTTTCCCTCCCCTTCGTCCTCGATTTCCACCCAAATCGACTGTACTTAATGTGTCCATCTAATTTACCTCCCATGTGTTTATTTTTACATGTACTTAAATTTGAAACTGTATCATATTGATTTTTTTAATTCACAAAAATGGAATGTACTATAAATCTCATTCTGTTCCTACTTTTTTCCTCAACACATTCTTCTTGAGATCTGTCCATGTTGTTATATATACATCTGAATCATGAGTTCTGGATTCTATATAATAATTTGTTGAATGCATAGACCACGTTTTGCCCACCAGTTCCCCAGTGGTAGACATGTAGGTAGTTTTCAACTCCTGGTTCCACAAACAATTCAGGGTCAAACTATGTGCACATGTTATGGGAGTCAAGTCAATCTTGTTGTGTTTATTTGTGTTTCTCTGGTTATCTTACAGATGTGTGTGAGGCTTATTAGGAGTAGGATAGCTTGTTCATAGAATATACACATGTATGATATTCAAAATATTTAACAATCATTAAGACACAGGCACTGACCACACAGTACAGACACTGCCCGTGCGCCATGTTGGTATGCACAAACTGGATGTCTGCCTTACACGTGCACAGATATAGTTTCATTAATGCAACTAGATTTACTCAGGAATGGCTCTACCAGTCTACACGCCCACTAGCAGTACATGAAGATCCTCTTTTTTCTCATATTGTCACCATTTGAAACCAACTTTTAATTTTTGCTAACTTGATTGGTGTCGAGTCACTCTCATTGTGGTACTTATTTGTATTTCACTGGTTATGAGGCTGAACATTTCTTCACACACTTTTTAGCCATTTGGGTTTCCCTTTCCTTCTGTAAATTTGCCCTGTTGCCCATTTTTCTCTTGGGTTTCCACTCTTTTTTCCTGCAGATATAGAAGAGTTTCTTGGATAGTCGAGAACAGCGCTGTCCAATAGAAATACAGCGTGAGCCACAAGTGTGATTAAAAATTGTCTAATAGCCACATTAAAAAAGTGAAAAAAAGTGAAATTAATTTTGACAATATATTTAATCCAAGATATCTAAAATACTATAATTTCAACATATAATCCACATAAAAATGATTGAAATACATTACATTCCTTTGTGCATGCTAAGTCTTTGAAATCTCGTATGTATTTTACACTTACAGTGCATCTCAATTTGTACTAGTCACATATAAAGTTTTCAATAGCCACATGTGCCTAGTGGTATATTGAATAGTGCAGGCCTAGAATCTAGACTCTGTGTAATTATTCCTTGTTGGTTTGGGTTGAAAAAACTCTTCCTCTGGTCCATCTACCTTTTAGCTTTGTTTATGATGTCCTTTGTTTAAAAAAATGTTAATTTATGTGTAACTAAGTCCATTATTTTGCCCCCTAAAATTTGTGTTTCAGGCTCTTGTTTTTGAAAGCTATACACAGGCCAGTGTGTCCAGGTATAATCTTACACTTTTCTTCTATTAGCTTTATAGTTTTTGTCTTTCATAGGTAGATCTTAAGCCCATTGGAGGATTCTTTTTTCATATTGCAGGAAATAGGGATCCAACTTTTTTGGGGGGTAGAGAGAGCTGTTTTCCCCAACACCATCTACTAAATAATCTGTCCTTTCTC